ACCTGGCCTAGGTCCTGTCTGATTGCAAACACTCACTGCTGAAGCTGCTCATGAACTGATTACATAGACTATAAAGTCAGCACACAAATACACAGAAGTTGCTGAGTCTTGTTAAAATGTGTGTGACATTACAACATGATTTCCTCTTCTTTCCTTGTCTTGCTGTGTTTTTGACCATCCGCCTGTTATATGACGATGACTCTTGACTTGCCCGTATGCATCTGTTTGCTCCTGTGTTGACTGTTACTTGCCTGATCATTCTGTTTAATAAATCTGCGTTTTGGATCTGCACTCCCTTGTTTAGCATCACCTCACATTACAACTGTTGATTGTCTAGACGCTTCAAATACTAGAGTGCATTTGATTGGTCAGAATATCTGATTAGAAGCTGAAGAGCATAGTGATGTCATGAAAATCGTTGATTTCCATCAGAGGAAGTGGTAAACTGCAAGTAAAAACTGCGTTTTTAATACTACAATTTAATATTATATTTAATATTATATTTCTAATATTATATTCTTAACATAATATTTTATTAATATTAGACTAAACTTATTGATACTATAAAAAAAAAGAATTTTGTTTTCATGGGAAATGTAAGGAGATTTAATTGTGTTAGTCTTTATTCATTCATTTTCCTTCAGCTTAGTCCCATTATTCATCAAGGGTCGACACAGTGGAATGAACTGCTAACTTATCCAGTATGTGCTTTACACAGCAGATGCCCTTCCCACTGGGAAACATCCATACACTAACATTCCCTACTGCCAATTTAGATTTACTGCATGCCTTTGGACTGTGGGGGAAACCGTAGAAGAAACCCACGCTAATATGTGGAGAACTGGCAAACTCCACACAGAAATGCCAAATGATTTAACAGGGACTTGAACCAGTGACCTTCTTGCTGTGAGGTGACAGTACTAACTACTGAGTGTTGGTGATGGGCTTTATTTGGCTTTAATGTAATTGTGTATGATTTTGAAGGGATAGTTCACCAAAACAAAAATTAATCTACTCATCCTTTATTTGTTTCAAACCTTCATGATTTTCTTCTGTTGAACAAAAAAGAAGACATTTTGAAGAAAGCTGAAAAACTGTAACCACTTACTTCCATAGTATTTGTTTGACCTACTATGGAAGTCAATGGTTGCACATTTTCAGCTTTACTTCAAAATATCTACTTTTGTGTCCAACTAAAGAAAAAAACTCATAAAGGTTTATAAGTGGATTTTCATTTTTGGGTGAACTATCTTTAATGATTCAATATGTGTTTTATAGTACATGTAAACTATTAAAACAGGCATCTTAATACTGTGGTAATTTCTCACAGTGTTAGTCCAAAAACACTGGAGTGGATTTAGAGTAAGGTCAGAGGTCTAAAATGGCAATTAAATTATATTACTATGCCATCTCAAGGATTAAAGATTGGAATGCTCTGGCAGTGCCAGGAGTAATTTAGGCCAGGGCATATGTGCCAAAATATGCTGCCTACCACACTGGGAGGGGAGATTGTGTGAGAAAGCTCATTTGTTAAGTGTTGTTTGACTTATTCTGTGTGATCTGTCTGTGAAACAGGCTGTGAAAACTTCCCTTTTCCCCATTTGGGCTTTACAGTCCTGTTGCACTACTTAAATACACAGATCTGGAAACAGACATGAGTGATGCAAGTAAACATTCCTGGTCTGGTGAACTGAATATGAGCTCTCTGATTGGACAATCAAATCTAAGGACTGGAAATGGACTGTTATGCAGTGCATCTTAGCAAACAGAATAATTTAAAATATGTTTATTGGGGTGGTCCACTACGATAGCATATATTAAACTTTAGTTGATGTGTAATGTAGCTGTGTGAACATAAACACATCTCTGAATGTAATATGCACAAAGTTCAACGCAAAAAGATACATTGGCTTTCACAGCGTTAGCTTAGCAAAGCCTACAGCGAACAAAGTTTGGGGACTACAAAAAAATACATCCGGGTTAGTGAGATCAAATACACTTCCGGTTACACACATTCACCACGCGGATACAACGTAGGCAGCAACAGGGTGTGGCCAGTGGTGCTGTAATGTTAGCAGAGAAAGCTAAAATGGTGTCCAAAACACTGCTATTTCCACATAGCTTCTTCTGTTTTCATATTTTGTCACTTCCAAAGGACACGACACAAAAAGAGAAGTGCTTACAATTTAATTTCAGCTATGTTCCAGCCAATTATAAAAAATATATAGCTAGCACTTGACAAAGGACATCTCCTAGTTCAGTGCTGGTTTTGGCTAAAAAATACTTCAAGCTGTGGATTGTGAGCCACAACCTGTAAGTATTTATCTTTGGTAAAATTGATAATTTACATGCATAGTGTCTAGCGTTAATGGTGTGTTGTTGCGAGGATGTAAACATCACTGTAGACATTTCCTCGAGCGGAAATAATGTCTTCTGAATATAATATAATATAATATAATATAATATAATATAATATAATATAATATAATATAATATAATATAATATAATATAATATAATATAATATAATATAAAATAATATAATATAATCAATTTGGGTATTTTGGGTAATATTATTTATGATTTACGATCAGCAAGGCAGCATTTGTTTTATCAAACAATACAGTAAAACACTAATTACTTAACTAATATTTTTTTATGAATTGACTATATTTGAAAATATATATATTAACCCTATAAAGAAAAGTTGCCATTTTTGCAGTCTCGAGAAACAATTCATCTTATTATCAATGTTGAAAAAAAGCTTGTGATGATTATTAATAGTAATATTTGCATTGTTCGTATTAAACTTAATGTTATGTATTTTCATTGTAATTGCATGTTATTGCAGTAATAAGTACACATTCTAAAGTGTGAAAAAGGCAGTACTTTTAGTTGCCTATATTACAAACATAAGCAACACACTTTATTTATTTATTTGTAGACACCATTTCTTTCATTGTATTGAATACAAGTAATGATTCAAACAACATTTGTGAGAATGAAATGTATAAAGATTTAAAAACATATTTCTTTAATATTTTGGGTCTTTTAATATATCACTAAATGATTCTTGCTCTAAATATAATATTGATTGGGTATTATTTGACAAATAAAATGAAGAATCAAATGATCAATTTAATAATTGATGCAAAACAATATATATATTGTTATATATTATACAAATTTTCTTTCTATCAGACTTCTTCTAAGTCTGTTGCTCACATATTTTAGGAATGTCCCTTTGTTAAATCTTTATTGTCTGATGAGAATACTTATAATTGTCCAAAAGGTTTGAGGTGATTTTTTTTTAAGCTATAAACATATTATTTTGGGGTTTTACATGAAAGAAAATCAATTCCTTAATTCAGGTTTTTGTATTAACCCACACTGTAAAACCCAAAAAGTTAAGGTAACTCAAACTGTTTGAGGAAACCAATTGCAACAAACCATTTAAGTTCAAAAACTAATCTTAATGACTACTGTGAACTTAATCTATTTGAGTAAATGAAGCAATTTGAGCACAGTAAAACCTGATAAATGAAGAGAACTCAAACCAACTGAGTACTGTAAAACTCATTAAGTTAAGGCAATTTAAGCCATATTTATTTCTGCATTCATTTGTGTTATTTCATGTGCCCCCCTCACTCCTTTTTTATTTATTTATTTTAATTTTATTATTTTATTATCTTTTTCTTTCTCATTGCCATAACATTGTAATACTGAAACAAATGACAAAATGAGTCATTCTCTTTTTGTGCAAAAAGTAATATTTGCATTGTTTGTGTTACTTAATCGTCTGTATTTTCACTGTAATTGCCTGTTATTGTAATAATAAGTACACATTCTAAAGTGTGGAAAAAGGCAGCATTTCAGTTTTAATAATTGCATATAATATACAATTGAAGTCAGAATTATTAGCCCCCCTGAATTATTAGCACCCCTGTTTATTTTTCCCCAATTTCTGTTTAACTGAGATATTTTTTTCAAAACATTTCTAATCATAATAGTTTTAATAACTTATTTCTAATAACTGATTTATTTTATCTTTGCCATGATGACAGTAAATAATGTTTTACTAGATATTTTTATGATACTTCTATACAGCTTAAAGTGACATTTAAAGGCTTAACTGGTTAATTAAGTTAACTGGGCAGGTTAGAGCAATCATAGGCAAGTTATTGTATGAAGATGGCTTGTTCTGTAAACAAATGGAAAAAAAGAAAAGGTTTAAAGGGGCTAATAATTTGCACTTTAAAATGTTTTTTTTATTATTAAAACTGCTTTTATTCTAGCCAAAATAAAACAAATAAGACTTTCTCCAGAAGAAAAAATATGATCAGATATACTGTGAAAATGTCCTTGCTCTCTTAAACATCATTTAGAAAATATTTTTTTTTAAAATTCAAAGGGGGTTTAATAATTCTGAATTTAACTGTAAACAACACACTTTATTTATTTATTTATTTACTTATTTATTTATTTATTTATTTTTATTTTATTAGATTATTTTAGATCCAATTTTTACAGTGCAAAAATGATTTAGATTTCACGTTTCCCTCATCCTTTATTAAGACAGATTAACATTATACATTTGACCTCGTGGAATTTCATGTTTCATTAACACTGATTACCGAACACGTCATTTCAAAATCCCCTGATGAACTTCGTTTCAAAATCTCACGAATCCTACAAACACCAATAACTCTCTCATCCATCCAGAACTATTACAAAACCAAGAAAATGTTGTCTGTGCTTAAATTGGCAGGATTTGTCTTCAAATCTGCCAAAAACATCATGTGCAACGAACGAATGCCATAAGACAAATTGCAATAATCACAGATAAATGGGCGGAAAAAAAAAGAAAAAAACGCAACTGATGAAATAATTTAACTAACAGGTAATTGCAAAACCGTATTTGGCAACACACAAATACAAACACACACGCTGTGCGTAAATGCAATTGTACGAAATACGATGTAAACATGAAAATCTCTTTACCTTACTCAAAGATCTTGCATCTCTGGTCAAAAGAAGCAGATAAGTTAAAACACTTGCGTAGATCCACATTTTTTTCATCAACTAATCGAAGTCCTGCACAGCTTCCACCTGATGGTATAATTTGGCGTCTCTGAAGGCACCTGTAAGCTCAGTCTGGTATTATGAGTCTAGATCCTCCAGAACACAGGTTTAGGGCTCCATGATTACAGGTCACGCAGAGTTATGAGTGTATGTGTGTGTGTGTGGGTTGTGACGCGCAGCAGCTTCAGCTTCAACTCCGCTTAGATGTGAGATGATGAACGCCCACCATCACCATCACCATCATCCTCTCTCACACTATGTGCAAGGCGGAGGAACACTGGCACCACTTCTGTACCACTGAGACATTTATGTGTTGTGCTGATGTGTAGCTTTTCTTTCCAGGGACATTTATAAGTGACCGACGACCACTGTAATTATATTTCTATAATAAAAAATAGTTATTATGAGAAGTACATTTGGAGGTAATGCTGTAGACACAAATTAAAGGCAGATGATTCTATTTGATGTAGTCTTCTATGGTATTGTCAGTGATAACAATGTAGCCTGTCGATGTTGTTAATGCTTGAATTTGTGGATATGCGCTTCATGTTTTCAGGAGACCTTAAAGCAAAGAACTTTAGGTTAGGTTTTTAGCTGTTATCTAGCGCCCTCTCTCGGTTAATGGTTATAAAATCGTCCACAGAATGAGTAAAATCTTAAATGTAAATTCCTTTTCTTTTCTTTTCCTTTTTTCTTTTGTTTTTAAAGGCCATCATTATAATAAGAAATAAAACATTGAAATATTTATTTTTTATTTATATAGAAATAAATAAAGTTACTGAACATTTTATTATGGTAAACAAACAAATTAAAATTAAATAAGCTTACGAAAATTATTATTTTATTAAATTATTATAATTAAAAGTAAATTATTAGCATTAAAAGTATACAAAAGATTGAATTAATTTGATTAAAATAAATTATCCAAAATTAGATAAAAATAAATATGACATATATAATATATTCTTTTTTATATATGATAATTATATATTAATTTGATAATTTTCTCAAATAATATCATAACCATTTTAATTTATTAAAGTTTTTCATTGAATCGTTTAAAACAAATAAATATCCATTAGACACAAAGAAGTAAGTATATTTATTACATACATATGCTGAAAATAACAACAATAATAATGTAACTTAAAAGAAACTAAATATTTTCCAAATAATACTTCAGTACCATTTGTGATATATACTTTTTTCATTTATCATTGTTTGTGTCTATAACACAAATAATAATAACAATAATAATAATAATGCAGCTTAAGCTTAAAAATTTTCAAATAATATTTTTTGCCGCATTTTTGATATTAAATGGGTTCGACCCTGTGCTGAGTCAGTATTTCTGTCACGTTCTCCCCGTGTTCGCGTGGGTTTCCTCCGGACTTCCCCACAGTCCAAAGACATGCGCTGAATTGGGTAAGATAAATTGTCTTTAGTGTGCGTGTGAATGAGAGTGTCTGAGTGTTTCCCAGTGATGGGTTGCAGCTGGAAGGGCATCCGGTGCGTAAAACATATGCTGGATAAGTTGGGGGTTTATTTCGCTGTGGCGACCGCTATTTAATAAAGGGACTAAGCCGAAAAGAAATTAAATGAATGAACTATTTTTTATTTATATATTTTACGAATATTATTTTTGTCCAATTTATGATATTATTTATTTTACATTTTTGTTTTTGTAAAACAAATGTCTGAAAATTCCTAAAAATCGCAAACATTTTATTTTAATACTCTTTTTATTAAGTCGTTTAAAACAAATAAATAGCCTACAAATTACACCCTAAAGATTAGGTATATTTACATACATTCTGCAAATAATAATAATAATGTACCTTAAAAGAAGCTTAATATTTTCCCAAAAATATTTTAAACCCATTTATGATATTTTTTTTCATTTTGCATTTTTTGTTTAAAACACTGCAAAATCCCTAAAATCGTAAACATTTAATTTAATACTATTTTTTTATTAAATTATTTAAAACAAATAAATATAAATTAGACCCAAAGGAGTAAGTATAGTTATTACATACATATGTTGAAAATATTAATAAGGTAACTTGAAAGAAATTTAAAAATTTCCAAATAATATTTTCGTTCATTTATGATATTAATTTTGTTTTTCCTTTTGTATTTTTTGTCTAAAACAATAAAATTCCTGAAAATCGTAAACATTTTCATTTAATATTTTTATTTATTGTTTTAAACAAACAATTACAAATTAGTCCAAACATATTTATTTCATACATGCTGAAAATAATAATAATGTAACTTAAAAGAAGCTTAATACTATATTTCAAATCATATTTTACTCTCATTTAGGATAGATTTTTTTTTTCAGAAAAATTTTATGTGTGTTTAAAACACTGGAAGTTCCTGAAAATCATAAACATTTTAGTTCAATGATACTTTCTATTAAATTGTTTGAAACAAATATATCCAAATTAGACCCAAAATGCTATTTATAACATACACATTTGGAAATAATAATAATGCAACTTTGTGAAACGTAATATTTTCTAAATAATATTTTAATCCCATTTATGATCTAATTTTTTTTGCATTTTGCATTTTTTGTGTGTCTAAAAGAACATTTACGTTACCATATAATAACCCCGCCTCCTCTAGCACCATTGGTCAAATGAAACCCGGAAGTAAAGTGTTTACAAAGATATTTAACCACATGTTGAGAATATGGTCAGATTCAAGTCAAGGTAATGAAGAAAAATAACTTATTTTTCCGGGTCCCGGTTTTAAATGCATAAAATAGCTAAATTTAAACGTAACCTTTAGATGCTTAACAGTTTAAACATGTTACTGTTTTACCAGGTATTTGCTGTGCGAGCTGTGTGTCTCTGAACCCAGCAGTCTTCATCTTTTCGAGGATAAAGTCGTGTATCAGGCACTCAGAGGGGCTGTGAACCGAGCTCACGGCGACTACGGAGCGGCGATTTTTAATATAACGTTAGGCGTATTAGGTAAACAATGAGATGTTGTTAAGATTTTTAACATAACCTATTAGAAATAGTAATCACTTTTTGTGATGTTGATACTTAATTTGTTTAGCTCAGTTTATTTAATATCTTCCTTAATGTTGTGCAGTGAAATATCTGAATGCCCACACTGGGGTGGTGCTGATCCGCTGCAGGAAAGCGCATTATCGGCTTGTGTGGTCCTCTCTTCCCTTCATTACTTTCCTGGAGAACAGAGGACAGAAAGTGCGGTGCTTCTTCAACTGCATTCATGTCGGAGGCAAGTATTAATCGGAAGCTAGAATTAAAATTTAATAAAGGTTATTGCTAGTCACACTTGTTTTAAAATTGTGATACTTTGTTTTTGACAAATCTTACCTCCTTTTCTTTTCGTACCTGCAGTTCTACATTAAACAGATATAAAATGAAAATCTTAAAAGGTGTATATTTTAATTTGTAAGGAAAAAAGTCAGTTTGTATGGCACTGTTTTTCGTTTATCCAGATTGTAGATTATTTATGCAATGTTAATCCAAAGTTTGCATTTGATAAATTGAAAAAGTTTTATACCTGACAGTTTAAATATTTTTGGCCAGAATTTTGTTATATTTATTCACAATTGTGAGTCAATAGAAGGGAAGAATATTATGAGATACAAACTCAAGAGTATGCAGTGAAAACCCTTTAAATGTGAAATAAAAGTTGCAGTGACTTTTTTTTTTTTGGTGTCAGACTTTGGGTCTGACTGTTCTTGTTTCAAGCTGACAACACACTATTCTAATTTCATTTCTTGCAATGATTAAGATACAAACTCAGTTCTGAATCAAAGCAAGACAGAATGTTTACACATAAGTTTCAATTAAAATAGAAACCTTATTCATTTAGACAACTTATTTGCACTAGTAGATCATTATTCTGAGAACCTGATAATGCGGACTGTTGTACAGTGTTTATTTTATTTTATTAGTTTTTTTTTAAATAAATAATCTAATAAATAAAATAGCAGTAGTAGTATTTTTGCTTTCTTGTTTTTCTTATAATCTAAACATTAATAGTTATGTTACAACTTTAATGAAACTGAATTAAGGTCAGAATTATTATTAATTTTTCTTTTTTTAAATATTTCCCAACTGATGTTTAGCAGAGCAATTTTCACAGTATGTCTGATAATATTTTTTTCTTCTGGAGAAAGTCTTATTTGTTTTATTTCAGTTAGAACAAAAGCAGTTTTCATTTTTTGAAGAAACATTTTGAAGTCAAAATTATTAGCCCCTTTAAGCTATATTTTGTTTAGATAGTCTAGATAGAACAAACCATCGTTATACAATAGTTAGCCTAATTACCCTAACCTGCCTAGTTAACCTAATTAACCTAGTTAAGCATTTAAATGTCACTGTTGTATAGAAGTGCCTTGAAAAATATTATGTACTGTAATCATGGCAAAGATAAAATAAATCAGTAATTAGAAATTAATTATTAAGCTTAGAAATGTGTTGAAAAATTCTTCTCTCAATTAAACAAAAATTGGGGGAACAATAAACAGGGGGGCTAGTAATTCTGACTTCCACTGTATAGAACTATGTGTTGAGATAATTAAAAAAAACATTTTGTCATGATAATGAGAAAACATCTTCTATCAAAATCAAAAGTAACTGAAGTTAAGATCCTGTGAAAGTGTTCATTAATTTAATCTCTTAACACAAGCGATGCTATTTTAAACATAAAATTATAAACATAAAAAGGGCAACTTTTTCATTTGTTGTACAGTATTCTTACAGTGAGTACAGTGCATCCTCAGAAATATGAGAATTAAAAGGAATACATTTTGAACTTTGAGATTGCGTATAAACTCAAGATTACTGGATATCATTGCTCCTTTTTTTAGTCGCAATTGTAACATGTTTTCTTGCCAGTTCCTCATTTGATGCTTACTCTTTTGATTACTCATTTAACCGGGATTAACCTAAAAAGAAAGTCACAGTTTACTCACCCTCTACCCGAAAAAGGATATGTGAAACCTTGATGACTTCATGTTGATTAAATGTCATGCACAGAAGATGTTCAGAAGAAATGTTTACCCCTGTGCACGTGCAGGCTGCAGTATATTATTGCATAGTGAACATTTTTCTGTCAGAGCTTTACATGGTTGACAACAATAAGCACACAATTTTACATCAGTTCCTCTCTGATCTTTTCCACAGGAACCATTAGAACGAGTCAGAAGTTTCTTATTAAGTACAACAGACAACAGCTCCAACGAATGCTCCTAGATTGCAAGACAGATGGTAAGTTCTGTTGTTACATTTATATAATGTATGAACGCTAAAGAGTCCATAAATTATTAGCAGTAGTTTTACTTGCTTGTTTTCTCACGATCTAAGCATTAACATTTATATTTGAGCAGCACTAAATGTTTTCTGTACGTAGCTTGTTGTTTCCTTCTAGATTATTTACTAGGGCTGCACATTATATCATTTTACTATCCATATTGCAATGTGATCATTTGCAGTCACATCGCAGGATCTGCAGTGTTGAGTTAATATTATAATTAAGCATTTGCATGTGTTTTTGTGGACTGTGAATGTATAATGGTTTTAAAAGCATTCAGGAATAAAAAAAATTACCATTTGTAACTTTAATAATGATTCATTTTATTGAATTATTTTTATTGTTCCATGGGGTATATGCATACCAACTTTTATTTTCAGCCAGCCAGCCCCAGGGCTTCCGTTAATTGCCATCCCATAGAAAATTACTGCGTTTAATATCTGATTTCTTTAAAAACAGCAATCTTCACTGCCTGGCTAAGATACAATATAAAGTGGATCTCAGACTGAACAAGAAGCACTGCATTAAATTATATTTTTCCATCCATATTTTTAAAATATGGAAATTAATTTTACCCCAGCATTTACAATGGAATTTCTGCGCTGGCCTGTGGCTAACAACGGTGCCTCCCTTTAAACAGTCTTTTGCCTCTGTTTACGATTTAACCACCAAATGCTTAAGTCTTTTTAACTAAATGTATTTTGATTACATTAAAATTTTAATGCTGTAAAAGGAACCTTATGAAATTGAAAATAGTCACACAAGGCTCTCACCGGAAGTTGATCATTGGCTGAAAAACACTAGCTGTGCATAAAGCCCATTACTGTGCCCGAACACTATTAGACTATTAGTTATATATATATATATATATATATATATATATATAAAACACTGTTTATTTCAGTTACAGTATATCTATTCTTTTGCAGATGCACTGCCACTATTGAATCATCCAAATCAATCTAAAATGATTAATACTTTACAAATAGAGATTTTATTGTCACCTAGTGAAATTGTATTCACATCGCAATATAGATTGCAGAATAACAAAATATTGCTGTGTTAGATGTTTTTCATTATTGTGCAGCTCCATTATATACATTAAAAGTAAATCTACAAGAACATTATGAAGTTAGATGGTTGCTAATGTCATCAAATTGCTAGATCTTTAATGGTCAGCGCCTATCCTACATGACAAATAAGACTTACGAGTATGTCTCGATGTCAGTTAATATTAATAATGCTTGTATCTCGAAAAAATAGAATTAATTAAAAGTGCCGTTCTTTACTGATTCAGTGTTATTTATTACCCTATATGGGAACACTTTACTTGAATGGGTGGTCATAAGACTGTCATTAAGCCTTTATAATCATGAAAAGGCTCATGTCAAGAATGTAAATGAGACTTTAAACATGCTTATGACAACTGTCACTAAGTTTAATTTTCTCAGTTATGTCATTTTAAATGCAAAGATGACATTGTTTGTTATGACAACTTGACAAACAAATGCATCACAACCTGTTTCAACTTAGGTTAAGATCACAAGGAACATAAGTTGAGATCCTGAAAAATTGTATATTATGTTACTATCTTAACACAACAAATAAGTCTAAACATAAAAATTATACACATAATAGCATAACATAACATAACATAACATACTACAACATAACATAAAACAATTAACATCATTTTAATATTGCAAGAAATATACAGTGAATAGCCTCTAATTAAGGATTTTTATAATTTTAAGCACTAAATCAGTTTACTGTATGTATTTATTATTTAGTTTTTTAAGAGTGGTTGCTGATGACATTCCAAAAATACATTAAAATGCAGTATTTATTTATTTCATTTATTTATTTATATATATTTATTTATTTTAAGTGCAGCGTTCTTTTTATAATTCACAATTTATTTAAAACGTTAAAATTATTTGTTTGAGAACCACTCAAAGATTCACTCATCATACCATCACTCTTTTTCTCCACAACACAGCTGAAAAACAAGATGTCAGGAAAGCCATCCTGAGCTGTTCTCTGAATCTGATCAAAGGAGAGGAAACTGATGGAAGTGATGATGATGGTGATGAAGAAGACACCTAAAATTCCCCATATAAAAAAGCACATACGGGATGTGTACTTCATTAAGGCAAGATGCAACCATGCAGTGGTTTGGATGACATGGTGATGTTGTTTATACATAATGCAGTTGAATAGTGAATTGTTATGTGGTTCCCGAACTGTAATAATAATTGATTTGATGCTTTTTTATTTTATACATCAATTATGAATGTGGTTTATGTTTACAGGACTGTTTAGTTGTATGAATGCCATGTGCAGTGATTTTTTTTTCACCTCAGAAAGCTGAAACAACTTCTGGTGCTTCTTGCTGTTCACTATAGATTTGTAAGCATTTGTTTCAAATAAAGTAAATATGAATAACTCAATCAATACTCATTGCTTTGACATCAAATCAGCTATTCTAGGTCATTTTCTCAGTGTTTACCTGTTTTAAACATTTATGACTTGCTTTTAAACATTTATGATTTTCTTTCCTTTGTGTTTAACATAGCAAATAAATAGTACATTTTCATTTTTTTTTTTTTTTTTTGGTAAACTTTCTCTTTAAAGTCTATTAAACAGACTATATATATATATATATATATATATATATATATATATATATATATATATATATATATATATATATATATATATATATATATATATATATATATATATATCAGGTTTTCAATCTTTTATGAATTTCCAATAATTTTACATGAGAAATGTATTAGGTAACAACCAAAGCATGCGAGAACCATGTCGTGTAGTCAAATGCGCCAATCAGAATCGGCGAACCTGCGCGTGCGCACTTTCTGACCTCTCCGAGGCTTATAACCCTCATCCGGGTGTTTACGGTTCCCGATTGGCGACCCGTCGCCATATGTCTGTATTTCCTTAGCTGGAGTAAGATTTGGGTTAAAACCCATTTATTTAACCGTTTTCCTCTTTTGGAAAACGGCTAACGCCTTGTGGGGCGTAACACTTCCCACGCCGAGGAGAAACTGCGCTTTTCAAGGGGCGAGGCCCCGCTTTTTGGGCACTTGTTTTTTGTGTTAGCACACAGGCTTTTTTAACTGAGACATTTGGATTGTGTCTCTGTTTTTCTCTTGGTTTGTTTGTGGTCAAGATGTCGCCGTAATGGGGTCTCCGTGTTTGTCAGAAATGAATAAGGGCCTTCGTTGCCTGACCCGCAGCCGCAACAACTCGTTTACCCCGTTTAATGCTAGAGAGCTCGGAGGCTCTCACCCCGGAGTTCGGCCTCAACATGGAGAAAAATCCAAACGCCAACAACAACAGCAGCAGCACGAAGATCCCGCCCCGTTCCAGCTCTACAGGCCTCAACCCGACAGACTCTAAAGCCAAAACAGGTACAGAATCAGGGCCTTGTACAGATAAACACACGACTGTCATGATCAAAACGGGTTTTATTGCTTGTTTGCGGTTTTGCAACGACATGTTTTTGTTTGTCTGTCGAGATGACGTAGCCGCGGCTAGCGATCGTCCCGCAGCTTTGTTTAATAAATGTGCATAAATTACATAGAAGAAAGGAAGCTAACGTTAATGTAGTGTCCTTAATAAGCACTAATGTTATATTAATCGATCTATGCTTGAAAACATATACCTAAAATGAGAGAATAAATAATTGTAAAGCATGTTAAGAAAGACGGTTCTTATGTAAGTTGTCTATTTACTTTTAATAGATCTGTTTAAAGTTAAAGCGAGGTAAATTATTTAAACAAATAAATAAATAATAACGACAGTGTGAGGGCTAACTTAATTTTGTATCTTATTTACATGTATCTATGTAAAGTTTGTCAGTGAACTGAGGTATTTTTTTACACAACTCGTGTTGAGTATATTGTCGTTATTAATAGAAAACACAACAATGTGCTTATTAGATAGACGTTATACTTCATTCAGTAACTAATACTAGTTTTACTGGGTGTTGGGACGGTACCAAAATAGTATTTCTTAAAAAAAGGAGCTGATGTCTGTTGTTTTTTAAATAAATTTAACTTTGGTTGATCTGTCGAAAGTAATTACTAAATGTATTATATATTGTCACAAATGTAACTATATTCAGTATAAGGTAGAAATTAGCTCGCAATTTTCTTCAAATATTATAAACGGCCTTTAAGATGTTTTTGTTTATTTTTTTGTAAATAATTTGGGAAAGTGTATTTAAACAAATAAGTATAAAATAAATTCATAATTAATAATAAAAATAACAAAAATAGTAAAATTCCAGGTGCTTGTAATTTACTGACATAAATTAATAATTTGCATAATATGGCTGAAAGCTGTAAAAGGTTTAATCAATGTAAATTGTTCACTCAGTAAATAATTAATACAAAGAGCATCCAGAAGGTGCATAGATCCTGTTAGAGTTAACATCAACGAGACTCCATTTATTTGATTTTAAGTTAATGTTATTATTAAACATAATTTTATGCCCTTCTTAACCCTCAATGAGAATATATTTTGAGATTCTGTTTATAAAATACTATTCAACAGTACTTATTATGCCAGTTAAATAAATTACATATTTTACCAACTTGATCAGACATGTTTGTATAATTTATATTCATGTCCACTTGCAATAAACTGATATTCAGATAACACTACATGGGTGGTGTCTGTGTGTCACGCTCTCAAATAGATAAATGGATTTCTCCTCAACTAACCTAATGTTTTCTTAAAAACTGACCGATTCCCGTGGGGAAATTAATATTCAGGGTTATTTTGTCTGCTGCTCCTCTTAGCAGCAGATCAGATGAATGGGGATCATGGCCAGGGTCTATTCTTGTCAGTAGTCCACCATGTGACCAAAAGCAAATCTGTGCCAAAAGCTACTGCCCTCTAGTTTTCGGATGCTATCCTCCAGCCAGTGGTGTATAAAGTGCTTGAAAGCCATACTTGAGAAAGTACAGATACCTTACTAGAAAATGACTTTGGTAAAAGTTAAAATAGAAAAACTTTGTGTAGAATTTTGCTTGAGTAAAGTTTTAAAGTAGCTGACATTTATTGTACTTAAGTATGAAAAGTGTTATTTGTTTATTATTCAATAATGTGCTTATGTTGTCAAGTAAAAGTAAATGCTATAAATAAATGTCAACAGCCAATATATAACAAAATTTGCTCTGTACACTGTTTGAGCAGCATGATTGGGATCAGTTTTAACTCCGTTTCATAGATTTTGTTTCTTTTTAAAGGCTAAATGTTCAGGTAAATCAATAATAATAGTATTAGGAATAATAATAGTAAATGGAAATGTCAATTTGGGGAATGCGGCAGACCACCAGTTTCTCAAACTGACTTTCATCTTGGTTCCGTTGGTTTCATTTTGTAGTAAGTAATGCATGTTCTTTAGAGAAATGTACCGGAGTAAAAGTAGAATTTATTGAAAACATAGTAAGGGTGAAAGTTGCCAGAACAATAAAACTCAAGTAAAAATATAGATGCTTTTAAAAAATAACTGTCACATTACATCATTACATTACATGTGTACTGTAACTGTCACATTACATCACTCCCTCCAGCATATCAGAATCAAATCACTGTAGCTAATAATGGCTTTACAGTATTGTCAGTGTTTTAGTTTTGATAATGTTTTGATGTTTGCTTGTGAAGCGTACGGGACGGCCGTCTCTGCTGCCCAATGATAAGCTGTGTGTTTACAACCTCCAGCTCTTATCATGTGGCACTTTCTGAAGCACTTGAGCACAACATGTGACTGGATTGATTAGCTGGGGCCTGTGTGAATGTGGTCCGAAGAATGAAAATGCACTGGCCTTTTATTTTAAGTCGTCAACATTTAAGTTTGCAGTAGAATGGCAACATCCAGTTGTCAATGCTACAAGCAATAAAACAAACAAACAAAAATCCCAAAGTTGTTGCAGACGCTGACCTTTTCAAGTTGGAATATTATATTTATTCCCCCCCCTCCTGTTTTTTTTTTTTTTTAGATGGTAAAAATAATGGGGGCTCTAAGCGCTACAGCCGTAAGCGGGAGCCCACTTTTGCCAAGGCTGAGAGCTTTCCAGGCCCACGCCGCTCACAGCCACAAAAAAATAAGAATTTTGACAAGAGACCCCCTCAGAGAGGTGGCGCAGGGGTGCGACAGTATGGACTCGCTGGTGGTGGGAGAAGAGAAGAGGTGAGTTAGGATTCATTTGCGCTTGCTTGTAAAACTGTTGTTAGTTACACTTCCTTATTGCATGTTAATGTGAAAATTGCAGTAATCATGCTGGTTAATGAACTGCAATGAAGTAGGCTATAATGCAAGGTAAACTAACAGATATGTAGTTAGACCCTATGATTTTCTATTATGTCAGAATAATTCTGTTTGAATCAATTACATTGTTGTTATTATTATTTTATTTATTTGGCAAATTTCAGTTTTTACTATTTCCCCTTATTTTGGAATGTTTTTCTCTTTTCTCTCGTTTTTAATTTTGCTAAACTTTTAAATTAGTTGTTTTTTTATTTTAATGATTGAAATGTAGTAATCAAAATTCAAGTTCATTGAATTCTAATCTTGAACTTATGCATGTAAATGTCAGTTTATTGAGTTCAACATAGTTTAACAAATTGCTTTATTTTTTCGAGTTCTGTTTCAAGAGATTATTCTTTGCAATAGGTATCTCTCTCTCTCTCTCTCTCTCTCTCTCTCTCTCTCTCTCTCTCTCTCTCTCTCTCTCTCTCTCTCTCTCTCTCTCTCTCTCTCTCTCTCTCTCTCTCTCTCTCTCTCTCTCTCTCTCTCTCTCTCTCTCTCTCTCTCTCTCTCTCTCTCTCTCTCTCTCTTAATTTCTTTGTTAAACCCATTTTTTAAAATGTTGGATTTTTATTTTTTAATTAGGTAGCAGAAAACCGCCGGGCAGAGTTTAGCCCGGCTCAGTTTGCTGGACCCAAAAAGATAAGTCTGAACCACCTGCTCAACTTTACATTTGAGCCAAGAGGAGGCCATTTTGGCTCCGGAGGAGATGGCCATTCCTGCTGGGGTCGCCGCAACAAGTGGGGTCACAAACACAAGCCCTTCAACAAGGAGCTTTTCCTACAGGCTAAGTAAGTAAAGCAGTATATGTTGTGCATGTGTATATAATAATTTGGTATTACATCACACGTAACAATGCTGCATTGTGCAATAGTGCAGTTTTTTATTTGTTTAATATCTTCTTTAATTAATTTTTTTTTTCATTTTAGTACTTCAATTGTGAACAAATGTTGCAAACTAAATCAAACAATATTTTTTTATATAACTTAATTGAAATTATCTGAAAACTTAATGTTTATTTAGTTTGTGCTATATTTATTTAACATTTAAATTATTAAATTATTATTATGAATGCTAATGGTTAATTAACATTAATGGTTTAGTTAACGATAATATTGCTGGTAAAGCTTTTGGTGCCAGGTAAAACCTTTATCAATACACATGAAAGACAATTTTCAGATTTTGCTTTTGCGACCAGGATTGAACAGACTGTTTATTTCAGATGACGAATTGCTCACTGTTGGTTGACTCATTTGTATTTATTGAATTATTGTGCATCACCAAACATGTAATTACTGTCAAGCTGCTCTCACCATAAAACCTAGATCTAAATAAACCTAATTATAATGTGAACGTTTTAATTACAATTAGACAAGATTTTTTTAAATAATGAAAACGCATTGGATGCTTTTAAAAAGGTATCCTCTTGCCATTGAGCTTGCCTTGAATAAGCCATAAGTTGCTGATGTGGCAATAAATAAATAAACAAACAAACAAATTAACTTATCAGTGTGCTTGCCTGATTTACTTTGCCATACATATGTCTCCATCCAATGTACGCAGAATAAAAATTGAATCGCTAATCATTACACCCTCCTTATCTTCACCAGCTGCCAGTTTGTGGTAAGTGATGATCAGGACTATCAAGCCCATTTCACTGATCCAGACACTTTGGTGGACTGGGACTGCGTGCAGCAAGTGGTTAGTTTCAGACTTCATACTTTTTATCCTGTTGGTTGCCTGTCAAATGTTTTAACCGGTCTTTGCTCTTTTCCTCATTCCACACAGCGTATCTACAGTCATGAGGTGCCGTCTTGTCCGATCTGCCTGTATCCCCCAGTGGCGGCCCACATGACGCGCTGCGGCCACATCTACTGCTGGCCATGCATGCTGCACTACCTCTCTCTGAGCGAGAAGAGTTGGTCTAAGTGCCCCATTTGCTATGAGGCCGTGCACAGCGCTGATCTCAAGAGGTTTGCTCAATTACTTCTGTATCATTCAATAACCTGACAGAAATTGCCATCTTCATATAGCGTTAGCCAACATAAAGTCAAAAGCCATAGGAAAGTTTATAAATAAAAAGCATTATTAACACCTTTAAAATATTAATAATGTGGGAAATATCATCTAAAAACAACAATGTACTTTTTCTTTTGTTCATGTAAATTAACATGTTAACTCGGTCTAAACCCACACATCCCTAATGGGAAAGTCGTAAAAGACAAATAAAAAAGGTTTAATTTTGATTAAAATGAACATGCGGCATGTATTTTTGAAAAGACACTTTTGCTTTTAACCCTGACTTATCTTTTTATATTTCTAGTGTGGTTGCAATGGAGACCCGTCAGTATGTGTCTGGTAACTCCATCACGATGTGTCTGATGCGAAGAGAGAAAGGATCTCTGGTTGCTCTTCCCAGCTCTCAGTGGGTTAAAGTGGAGGAGCCCATTCAGTTTGGAGGTCAGATATTCTGCTGTTTGCCTGTGACGTTTGTGGTGTTCTATTGAGCATGTCTTAAATTTCACAATTTCATCTGATGAGAAGCCGGTGCTCTCGAAATGTCACTCGCTTTTGATAGCAATTTTAACTTAATACGTTTATATTTTTGGAGTTTTGGTGTTGTCTTTATGTATATTTTTGTACTAGTTGTTTGACTGAGTACACATTTAACATTTATGTGCGTGCTTGTGTGCGCTTTTTAAAAAAAATTCTAAATTGCCGTCCTTTCCCTTATTTTTTGCAGATGTGCAATTTTGTTCATACTCCAAGCTGCTGCTGGCATCTCGGCAGCAGGTTTTGGGTCTGCTGGCTGAAGAGAGGATGGCTCTCCAAACCCAGCTCAGCCAGGAGAAAGATGACCCACAGGCCTGTTTCATACAGAGCGCTTTACTGCAGCTGCAGGTACACATGCTTTCATGCTTCGAGATGAATGTTGGGTTGGGCAAGTTGTCTGTCACTTTAAGGCACAGTCATCAAACTAGTTTAACAAGTAATACTTCTGTTTTGAAAAAAGGGCATGTTTGTTACACCGAAAAAATGTTTAAATCTTGACTTTTAAAGCTGTTTAAATGGACAAAAAACTTGGTTATGGTTACTTAATAGTTTTGATTGTATCTTGTATTTTGGGTAATTTGAGTAATTTATTATACTATTTAGGCTGACCCTATCAAACTTCATTTCGTACATGTAAATTGAAATATCATATAGTAAATAAACATCGGCCTTAAACCGTTTCAGAATATAAGTGACTGTTTTAAAATAGCTAAATTAACTGGGAGAGCTAAATGATGTAGGTTTGCTTTAAAGAAGTGTCTGCTAAATGCACAAATGTATTTTAAGCTACTATTTTATTAATATCTTTTAGATTTATGTGATAGTTCACACAAAATGAAAAATTACCATTTACACGTGCTCAAGTGGATATAAACATTTATGAGTTCTATTGAACACAAAAGATGTTTTAAAGAAAGCTGTATGCAAAACAAATACTATGGAGATTAATAGTTACAGGTGTCCAGTTTTCTTCAAAATATCCTTTTGTGGTCAACAGAGGGAATTAACTCATCAAGGAAGAGTAAATTAAGATGATTTTTTTATTTTTTTTTTGGGTAAATCTCTTTAAGAAGTCAGTCAATTTTACATTTTTGTTTATTTTTGTTCTAATACTGCCACCCAGATTTTTATAAGTATTTGCATTCACATAATTAATCCTCCTATTTTCTCTGGGATTAACCAGGAGCGTGAGGAAAGTCTTTTGAAACGTCGTCGTCGTAAGACTGCAGGTTCTGTTGATGGGGTGGACATGAGGAAACTCTCTCTGTCTGAACAATCCTCTCCAGAGGTGACTGTGGTCAATAACCTCACAAACTCGAAGGTCAGTGGAGACTGGTTACCTTTCAGCATGCTCTAAACTTCAGTTGATGATAACCATAATTCAATCAGTTGTCATTGTTCAGATCATCTTTTTTTATATTTTTATTTTTTTTACATTTTAGATAAGGTATTGTTTTTCTTTTGTTTTGCAAATGAAAAGTGATTCTAAAAAAGCAAAAGAGGAACATTTGTGTCTCAGTGCATCAGTACAACTTTAATCATTCAAAAGTTTCATTCAGGAAGGTAAAGTAAGCTAGTGATTCAGTGATCTATTTATTAACACAGTCACTTTCTTGTTTTCACAAATTTGAGTGAGTCAGTAAATCATTTACTTCACGTTTTTGTTTTGGAAAGATATTTAAAGTCCACAGTCCCTCAGGTGCTTTATTTTAATGTCTTCTTATTAATAAAGTTTCTTGACTTATCTGTAAATGTTTTTAACATGTTGTAATTGTGTCGGCTGCTTAATATTTTTATTGATCTTAAAGGAAATGTAGAAAAATTTAGACAATCTTAACAATTGCCAGCTAGATTTGAAAGCCTCCGTCTCATACATCAGTGAGAAAACATTACAGTACAAATCATATTGCAGTAGTAAAGTAATAATATAAATAAATATATCTGTTTTTTGGGCATCCCTATGCATTCCACCAACAATATAAATGCGTGCGTTTAGATCACTTACAACTTAAATCCTTTATAGATCTGAAGAGTCTTTCAAACAGCAAAACAAATGTTTTTTGTTTTGTTTTTTGAACGAGGTCACCTACCCTGCTTTAATGTAGTGTTTACTATCTTAGCCCATTCTGCAGTATGCTTCAGCATTTGACGATGAGGTACAGGATGCTCAAGAAGAGGTGCTGGAGGAAATGACCAATCCCAGTGTTCATGAAGCGCCTGAAGAGATACCTGATGGAGACGTGGAGGACCTTCCTGTAGAAGAGACTCCTCAATCCAGTCAGACCGCTCATCATGGCCCATATTACTACTTCTATCAGGGTGAGTGTTGCTTTCTTTGTAATGATGAAATGTTTTGTTCATTGCATCTCCGAGGAAACAATAGAGGAAGAGGAGGAGGAGGAGGAGGAGGAATATAAGTATAACTACAACTTTATTTATATATTTTTTTCACCTGTGTAGCTGAGGACGGTCAGCAGATGTTTCTTCACCCAGTGAACGTGCGCTGTCTTCAGAGGCAGTACGGGAGCTTGGAGAACAGCCCTCAGACCATCACTGCTAATGTTGTGGAGATTGATGGACAAACGGTCACTGAGGTATTCTCATCCTCAAAGAAAGTTTGAGTTTTAAACAATACTGTTTTACATGGCTTAAAAAACCTATTTAGCAGCTCTTTGTGTGTAAAAATTAGCAAAATTAAACCACTTTTTAAATATTATGTGTTAAGTTATATCCTTCCTGAATAAGTAATTAACATCCGCTCATATTTAGGATATTCGTCGTCGGCACCGTTACCTATCTCACCTGCCCCTCACCTGTGAGTTCAGCCTCTGTGAGCTTGATCTTCAGCCACCCATTCTCTCGAAAGAAACATTGGACAGTTTTGCAGGTACATCAGTGTAAAAGCATCTGCTGTATTATGCACCATAAGATACATGACACATTTGTAACATTCTTGTCTTTTTGGCAGATGATATTGAGAAAAGGAAGCGCTTAAGGCAGAAGAAAGTGAGGGATGAGAAGAGAAGGGAGAAGAGGATTGAGATGGAGGAAAATAGGAAACAGGGCAAATGTGAGATTTGATTCCATGTTGCTTATTACAATGAAAACAATGCCCTCTTCTATATGAAATTAGATGAGTGAACACATAACATTGGTCCTCGACTGATAATGTTGGATTATTGAATGCGTCTCTGTTTTTCAGACCCAGAGGTGCACATTGGGCTGGAAAACCTCCATCATTTTCCAGCTTTTGGTTCTCCTCCTCAGAACGGTCCACAGCTGCATCTTCCAGAGGTTCTGCTGGGACCCCCTTCTCCACTGAGCAGCAGCCCGTCTTCAGGTGACACTCACTCTTTTGTTCCTGGGCCTTCAGTGCCTTGTGTTCTGTGCTAAAGTCCTGTCTTTATTTCAGATGGAGTGATGTTCCCTAATCTCAGTGAGCACAGTCCTTCTCTGAGTGTTGTCGGTGTGGAAGAAGACTCTCACTGCATGTCATTCGCTCAGGTTTGACTTATTTTTAAATAACTTATTTATTAGTTTATGAAAACTAGGGCCGGTTTCAGAACCATTGCAGTTTCTTCACAATGAGCCTCATTCATCAAACTAGCAGATCTAATTGTTTGTAAATTGTTAAAATATGATCTGATGTAAAATTTCAAATTAATTAGTGATTTGTCTTTCTGTTGAACACGAAGATAATGTAAAAAATGTTGCAAATCTGTAACTCCATACTATTTGTTTTTGCTAGTATGGATGTCAGGGGTTGCAAGTTTTCAGCTTTCTTCAAAATGTCTTGTTCAATAGAAGGGGGAAACTAATAAAGGTTTGAAAACAGTTGAGGCGGCGTAAATAGTAAGTTTATGTTTTTGGGTGAACTATCCCTTTTACAGTTTGGCTATAGGTAAACAGTGTTTTTTTATTTTATTTAGCTGACCAATCAGTGAAAGAGGGGTGGGACAGATACATCAACTAATCTCCCTACTGTACTTTTACAAAGACTGAACTACAAAAAAATTATTACTTGTTCCTACATTTTTACATTTAGTAGTATTCTTCTAAGTGATTTATTAGTAGTATGTTACTTGCTAGGATTCTAAATAAATAACAACCATAGCATCACAGCTGGAAAAACAGTGTCCCTCTAAAGTTTTCAAGCCCTACCAGCTGGACATTTTTTTTTATATGCTGGAATCAATCCTTTGAATGCAACCCAGAACAATCCACTGCATTCTTGAACCCGAAAATGAGATTGCTCACGCTCTATTTATGAAAGCTTGGAATTGATTATCATACAAATGTTTTAACAATCCAATCTGATGATTGTGAAATGTTTTGTAGAACTGAGGAAGAGTTTTTGAGAAGTTCTTTCTGTATTTACAAATGTTTTATGAATGAGACTATTAGTGTAAAAATAATTGCTGAGTAGGAAGCGAAACTAAATTTGTATATAGCAGAGACAGCTATGGAATTTTAAGACTTGAGTGTGAATATGTGTGCTGATTATTCTGTAGATGCTGAAAGGTGGCAAAGCACGTGTGGATACGGGGCCTAAAACTACCCCAAAGAAAGGTGAATTGCTTGACTTTGTTACATTTTGTCTCTTGTTGGTTCACGGTTTATGTACTGTATGTTATTTAGTGGCGATTTGTGTGTTTTCTTCCACAGCAGACATGTTTCTGGCTCCTCCTGCAGCAGACAGTGATGGAGAGAGTGATAACTCTGATCGGGTCCCTGTACCCAGTTTCCAGAACTCCTTTAGTCAGGCTCTGGGACAGGCTCTATCAAAGCTGGACAATGGAAATCAAACCCCAGCCCCAGCTTTACCCATTTCTGGTGAGAAATAGACTGCAATAAACTGAAGTTCAAATGTCTGGGTTGAATGTTTTGAAATTAAGCCAATTATGCATAATTGGTACTTCAAAAAAAAAAAAAGACAATACATTTACACATAAAGCTACATTTTTAGCAGCCATTATGGATTTCAGTGTCAGATGAACCTTCAGAAGTCATTTTTATTTGTGCATTTGGTATTTAAACTTTTTTTAGGTAAAAGTTAGGGATGTACTGGTGCATCATTTTCAAGATATTGCAATTTTAACAATGTGATTTGCGTCTGTAACATTGGTAACGCGTTAGAATATCGGTCCATTACTTAATGTATTTACTAACATAAACAAACAGTTATTAATGGTTTATTAACCTTTAGTAATGTTGGTTAATGTTCTTAAAGTTAAATAACATTAGTTCATGTTTGTTTATGTTAACTCAATTAAGCTCAGGTTTAGAATTTAATAATGCATTAATAAACGTTGAACTGATTAAATTGTTTAACTCTAAATAATCTTGCAATGTTAGTAAACACATTAACAAATGGACCATTATTCTAAAGCATTCCCCTAACATTGATTGTGTTATCATCTGAAGCACATGTTTGTAGTAAATGCACAAACACTACATCCTAATATATGTATAGACATAACCATCACATTATATGATTAAACCATCCAAACTGCTATGAATATTCTTAACATGCTAATATATTAATAGTGCACAGCATTCATACATAGTTGCATTCTTATGTAACCACTGTCCTGTGCAATACAATTTGGAAAACCTACCTGTAAGTGTGTTCCATATGGGGATAGTACTGTGACCAAAAGAGCTCAAATGTGCTGCTAGTTAAGAAAGCGCATGCATATAAAAAACACTTACAAACTGAGGAAACATCTTCATCAATTTGACAAGACGTGCACATGAACATTCTCACCACACATGCAAATAAACAAAAACATGCTGCAAATAGTTCAGACCACAACGGAATCCATCTGGGGACCCCTAAAATTGATGAACCCAGGCGGCTATTTCTGTTTAGAGTAAGTGGTTCATAAACCATATTCATGACATCCAAGTTGGCTTCATAAATGTATGTATTTATTGAAAGCAGCTAAGGTGCACATATTAAATGAACAACTGCAGCCATTTCAAGCACAACTTTAAAGACATGCTTTTAAGGAGTTAAATAATGGCACAAATACCTGTAATTTGAGGGGCACAAATGTTAGTAAATCACATTTCATGATTCAATGAAATACTTTCTATAATTTGCATCTGACTATGAAATTCCTATGAATGTGTATTCAATAAGCACCGTGCAAAAATAGCATTGTCCATGCCTTTTCAGCGCTGTTCTTCTCTGCATGTGTTTGGTAAATATAGGCAGTTCTGTTTTAATGTCAAAAAGAGTCAGTTTGACCCAAAATTCATTGTGGGATGAACAAAAGTTTTACTCTTTTATTTTAAGTGTTTCTCTCTCTCTCTCTCTTACTCTCTCTCTCTCTCTTACTCTCTCTCTCTCTGTAGATGATAAAGGCGGGAAGAAGAAAAAGAAAAAGCAGAAGCTTCTGTTCAGCACCTCTATGGTTCACACCAAGTAAACACTGAAGTTCACCCTGTCACTCCTCCTGCCTTATTCCTCCCTTTCGCTTGGCTTTCATCATCTCCCTTCCCTCTCCTCCTTCATTTCCCTGTTCAATGAGATTTTTCTCCACAGGAAGTTCATAGGGTTCTGGATTACTCTCTTTAGATCAGATTCATATGACTTTTCACTGTAGTTCTGTGCAGATTCTAAATTGCTCAAGTTAAATATCATGGTTGCTGGTTAAGGGTTGCACTGATAGATTTTGGGAGTCTTGAGGTCTCGGTCAGCCAGCTGCAGACACGTCCCGTCCCCATTTATCAGACAACATTTTACTTCAACCGTGATGCTTCATTCTGAACTCAAATCAAACAAAAATGAATTAAAACAAAACATTGAAAATTGCAAAAGAGGAAGAACGTGATGAGGATTGTATGCATTTGAGTTCTTCCTGTGATGCACAGACACTTAAAACTATGCTGATTTGAACACATTTCTGCTTGCTTGTACACGCACACACCAACACTTCTTCTTTTTCTTCCTTTTATTTTCTGATTATTGTGAACTTCAGTCAGTCTGTGTTCAGCTGTCATCATCTGGCCAGCCTGAGAACTGCCTTTCACAATCAGAGATGTTCATAATTCACAAACAAGAAGTCATATTTCTGCTGGAATAGCATAGTGGGTCTTAAGCACTTGACTATTGGAACCTTTATTGATTCATTTATTCAACTGTTAGACAGATTGAGAGCTGCTCATGTTCAATAGTGTTCAGAGAAGAGCTTCTGTGTTGAGTGAGGATGATATGTAAAGGCACAGAGAGGCTTTATGAAATGTTCTAGAGGGTTTGATTTTCTTTTCTTTCTCTATATTTCATTATTTTCCCTCATGTGGTAAAAAGTTCTTGCATTTAGAGTAAGTTGGAATGAATAAAGGATTATTATGCACTGGCAATTTGCTTGTCTTCATTAAAAACGCCATTGTTTAAAATGTTTATATTTTGTGAAAATGTACATAGGAATATGTTTGCTTTTATTTAGTATTGAAGTAATTTTATAAAGGGGGCATTGCCCCCTCAGAAAGATTTTGTGCCCCCCCAGTTTTTATAAAGTATTGTTCACTCAAACTGAAAATTCTTACTGTCATTAATTATTAACACCCCCGTCGTTCCAACCTTCAGAACACACAATTAAATATTTTTAAATGTATGACATAGCAATTGAATTATGAGAGTGGCTACATCATGATGAACAGTGCTTTATAATAACAATAATAATTCCTTGCATTTCTATAGCACTTTTCTTGGCACTCAAAGCGCTTTACACATAGGGGGAATCTTCTCATCTACTTTTTCATTTTTTTTTTAATGCAAGAAAGAACATCACAAACATATAATATGAACAAAGACACAAAGAGGGTTACATAAATAGAATTCCAGCAAATTAAACCAGTTTAAATGATTTACACCAAGAAAGTGTTTTAAATGCAGTGTAATTGTTAGTCTTTTAAAGAGTTCACATAAATTTCCAAAGTCTTTTCTGAAAATAAAAAAGTAAGGGTGTTTCTTTGAAAATTTACATTTATGGATGTAAAATTTTGTTAAAAAAAAAAAAAAAGCAATAAATCAATAATAAATTTACAATGAGAAGGAACTTCACTCAGAGAGTAACCAAAGAATACAATTTTTGGGGAAATACAGAAGTTTGGAAATAAGAATTTTTAATGAAATTGGAAAAGTCAACCCAAAACACTTTACAGTATGTACACTCCCAAAATAAATGGTTTAGAGTTTCATCATATTGAGTACAAAATGAGCATTTAGGGGAAATATTGTTATTAAATTTAGCTAGTTTGGTATTTATTGGGTAGCAATCTCCTCATCTACCACCAGTGTTGCATCCACCTGGATGAAGCGACAGCAGCCGTTTTCCACCAGACCGCACACCACAGAGAGAGAAGTCAGAGTTATGAAGCCAATTATGATATGGGGATGGTTAGGAGGCCATGATGATGGACAGAGGCCAGTGGGTAAATTTGGCCAGGATGCCGGGGTTAAACCCGTACTCTTTTTCGAAAGACATTCTGGGATTTTAGGGTATATGCTGAAGCATGCTAATAGGACTTTTAATTTGCCAGTAACCTGGGTTAAGCGCTTCCGGCGAACTGTATGCCAAAGGAAAAATCTGCACGTTTTTAAAGTCTGTTTTCTTTAAAAATCAGCGATCTCCACTGGCTGAGTGAAATCCGATATGAAATGGTTCTCAGATTGTACTAGAAGCACTGCACATTTCCTCGCCATGTCTTTATAATATGAGTATTTATGCAATGGAGCGTCTGCGCTATCCTGCCGATTCTGATGGGCGAGTGCGAGTAAAAGACCATTTGTCTTGTTTTACGCTTGAACAACTTAATGAATGCCAAAGTTTATTTAACTGAATGTATTTTATTTACATTACAACATGAATGCTGTAAAAGGAACAGTATACAATGGAAAAAAAACACAATAACCGGTCACCAGAAGTTTATAAGTAATATTGGAACAACACTAGCTCGGCATATACCCAATTATATTCATCTGTCTCCATATTCTACTGCATCCCAGAATATTACACAGCACCAAAAATTTAAATATATATATATATTGAATATATTTAATATATTTTTGTGTAAGGCAGACGGCAACTTGCCGTGATGCAGATTCCTGAGTCTGTGCTCCAATCAGGTGAGCCCTCTTCAGCGCTCAAGGAGATAGCAGTGACGTGCCTTGTAAAAATTTGCATCTGCGCTCCTATAAAGCTCGTGTGCTCTCTATCAGCGTTGTCAGTTCGCTCGGTGTTGCTGTTTGTACTTGACCAAGGTGAGTTCAATACCAACGGTACGAGTGGAGCCACGCCAATCTCACGAAGTCCGCTTCGTGAAGCTTCATTTGGGCCCGTCTGTGCTGTAGTTCCTTGTGGTTTACGTACATAAACGTAACATCGCAAGGAATATTACGTGTTTGTTGCTCGAAATGTGCCGCCGAGCAACATCCAGTGAATACTGGCACGGCCTGGCGCCCGGTCTTCTCGTGCACTGCCTGGGGCGAGGCGGCCTTTGAGCCCTAGGCAGGGAACAAACAACCCCCGAGGACCCTCAGGGAAACGGCCCACTCATCGTCTATTTTAAACTTTAGTTTCAAACTTTAGTTTACTATAGTTTGAAATAGACACCATGGTAACTGTTATGATTTAACTTTATGCAAAGAGCTTAGAATGACCAAGACTACAGCCCCGGATTCTGCCATTTTGAAGTGAAAGCGATCGGCCGTCCATTGGATCTCAATGTCGCGATGGAAAGCAGCTGCTTTGTTTTTATTTGATTTATTCAAAAAGCGCGTTATTGTTTCCCAAATTGTAGAGTGTCGCCTCTTGGTAATTCTATGCTCTTTGCTCTTTGTCTGACTGTTGTAATGTTTTGCTTTTTTTCAGCTAAGCTGTTGAGCAAAGAAGGATTATTGAAGACAACCGCGAGTTATATTCACGAGCGTGCACGTTATAATGTTTCCTGGTTGTTTTCTGAAAGTTTGTCTTGTTTGCATGTCAAACGAAATAAACTATACTCTTTCTAAACACCTGTCTCGTGTTTTATTTGTCCTCTACAGCAATGCACTGTCATGTAAGTCTGTTGAATGCATTTGTATGCAACATGGTTTGACAATACAGTAATCTAACAAATAAATGGTTGTTATAAATGTACCTTCATTAGTCAACATTTGGTGTAGGTAATAAAAAGTTAATCAAATATGTCTTAAGACATAAGGGTTATGTTACGGTTGTTTCATAACTATATTTATTATTATTATGTATGTTTAAAACCAGCAAATTATACTATATATTTAACATGTCATGAACTTACTATTATTTTAAAATTTGCTTAATAAAATGTCCTAAGACAAGAATGGGTGTTAATTTGGTTGTATGTCAACCTACAGTAGGATTTAGGTTGACTACAGCAGGTATAGGCTACACACATCATAGGGAGTTTTTTTAATGACCCAAATCAAGTAAAACGTCTCTTACTCAAGTACTTTTAGCATGCAAAAGTCAAATTTAAGTATATAAAATACAGTTTCCAACAACAAAATTTTGTCTTGTGAAAAAGACCAGTGTGGTGGTGAGGAAAAAAAGGTAATGTCAAGTTATATATATTTATAAAAGAAGTTGAACAAGTTGTCATAATATTTAGTCATTAGATTATGTGACCGCTAGATGGCGCTCAATTAAAAGGAGCGTTCATTTCAAAGGAGCGCTACCCTGTACTAAAATGGCGGCTCTATTGACGCATTCCTTCCAATAGACAACATCTGGGTAGGCGACATCCAATGTATATTTCTATAGGAGCTAACTAGTATTCACGTCATATCATGCTCAACTCTTATCACTCTTTTACGTTCTTGAGAATCTTGGCGGGATTTCAGAATGATATTTAGGCAATTATGAAGTAGCAGTACCGTCTGTGTACCATAGTTACACAATGCAGCGCTTAGCTCGCTCGTAAACATCGCTGTCTGAGCAGAAGTTATCATTAGCCCTGACTGTCAGATGCTCTTCATCTCAGGCCTGTTATTTGAAATAAAACGGAAATAAGAATAACATATGATTTACAGCACTCGTTTGACACTGAAGCCATGATCCGTCTGCATTAATAAGCGGTATGCATTACCATCGTTAATAAAATTCGCAATAGCGAAACTGCATATTATTATTACTATTAAAACGTAGCCCATATTACTGCCTTAGGTCAGTAACTTAGGCAGTAATGCAAAGTAATAATAAATGTAAATAAATAGCCTAAATGAAAGAAACGATAGACTAAAATCAGTCACCAGGTCTAGTGCCCCCCTATGGATTTAAAGTGCCCATTCAGTTTTGACTTCCTGGCGCCGGGCCTGCATGTACCCACCCGTTTTAAGCGGGGATCCAACCGGCGACGCCTGCATGGGAGGCGAATGCTTTAAGGAAGAGGCTGAGAGTCGTGTTTTCGAATTGCACTCGCCAGCTCGTCTGCGTTAAACACTATACTGCGATATGCAGTGGTTTTTTGTTAAAAGATAGTTGTAGAAAATACGCTAATACACTTTAGTATGGTTCAAAAACCATTTAGTTGAATTACTGGTGTGTGGGACCGGTGGTGTTTTGAAACAGAAGAAATGTATATAATCGACGCCTAATCTCTGGCTATACACTTTACTAACCCATGAGGGTGTTTAAACCTTTTAATCAAAATTCGGAGCAGTCACGTGGGTAAAGGCGAAAATTAAGCTTTGGACGTCACTGATCACCTAATTATGGCAATACGAATCAAGCTCCGGTACAACACGAGATGTATCGGTTTTTTCTGATACATATGCTACGAAGCCTCGGCGCACAACGTCACATCATTAATTAAATCTATGGCATCACATGAACAATACTCATAAATTGTCATCAGTTGGATATAGAACATAACACTTTTGCCAGTGAATGCCAAAAAAAGCTTTTATTTTCAAATTTTGATTACAAATACTGGTACAAAACAGACCGTTACACTGTTCCCATTATTCTTCTCCTTACAGTTTTCCAAGTCACAGATGCCATTTCATTTCAATCACAGTCTCACCTCCAGATTCATGTCAGAGAAACTGTTAGGCTACAGGGCAGGAATGGAAATCAAATGCATTTATGAAGAGTGAGTGATTTAAGCATAGTACTAACGAAAACTGACAAGATGAGTTTTGTGCAGAGTGTAAGGAGAACAGAAGATTTTATAGATGGAGGAAATGCAGGTACATAGAGAGAGGGGGAAAGGGACGGTGTTTATATTGGAAGTATTAAAGTGTCCTTATTTGGCCATATTTAGGACTACACTGCAAAACTGTACGACTGTACTGCCTTACAATATTATTTGATATCTTTTTTATTAACAGTGTAGTCAGTATCAAATGATGCAGATATCAAAGTCATTAAATGAAAAATGGCTAAAGGTGAAAATAGCAATTGAAGGACATAAACAAATCTTTAGACAGACGTTTACAGCTTCAGGTATTTTGCGGCCATGGCAAGAATTGGGGCTCCAGTTGGGACACCAGGGAAGGGTCCGCTGGATCCAGCGATGTCGATGTGGGAGTAAGGCAGAGGTTTGGCTGAGTCCACTCCATGCTGGGCAATAAAAATGTTGATTGGTTATCCATATTTCATGCAGACACGAGTTCATATTTCAATGAAATGGCTCTACTCAGCTCTGAGTAACAAATACTAACAAGAAACCCTACATTTACACAGGTAAGGACAGAAATGTACACTACCATCAACATGACAGACAGACAGACGGACAGATAGATAGATGTATGGATAGATAAATAGCATAAAATATAAACTAAAGCTAACAGAATTAATTGATGAAAATGCTTCGATTCAGTGATTAATTAAACCATTTGCTCAACTGATTCATTCAAAAAGTCGGCTTCATACAAAAACAGAGACAGGTGTAATTATTAGTTAAAAGCAGGACATTTGTGTTGTTGTTTTTTTTGGTTTGTTTGTTTCAAACTATTTTTTTTTTTTGCCAAAGTATTGATTCATTGAACTGTATAAAATCAGCATTTCATTTGTGACCATGTTTGTGTTTATTTTCTAGAAAACAATGCTCTTATCTGTGTGATTGTGATCAACTTTAAAACTTATTTATCTTTTAAATAAAGAATCAAAAATGCCTTGACAAAAAATATATATAGTATTTTAACTGATCGTCAAGTAGCGATAAAAGAGATGCACTTATGGTAACACTTTAATATAACTACACACTATGAATCATTTATTAAGCATTAGCAAATATTTAATTCATTATTTATTAAGCTTTAACTCTACATTAATAAACATTAATAAGTAGTTTATAACTGCAGCTACTAAACTATCAAATGAAAAATAAATATTTGGAGTCTTATTTAAAAAAAAATGACTACAGTTTAAACATTGCATATTATTATATGGTTAAATTATTATATTGTTGTTTTTTCCAGTTTTAGGTTGACACTCTTGTTATTCGGCAATGTTTAAACTTTACAGTCATTTGACTTTTTAGATAAGATTGCAGTTTGATCCGGAGCCGGGTGAAGCAGTGGCGCAGTAGGTAGTAGGGCTGCTCGATTTTGGGAAAAATCATAATCACGATTATTTTGGACATAATTGAAATCACGATTATTCAAAACGATTACTGTTAAAGTCAAAATTATTAGCGCTCCGGAGAAAAAAAATAAATAAATAATTCCCAAATGATGTTTAACAGAGCAAGGAATTAACAGTATTTCCTTTTATATTTTTTCTTCTGGAGAAAGGCTTTTTTATTTTTATTTTGGCTAGAATAAAAGCAGGTTTAAATATTTTGAAACCCATTTTAAAGTCTATAATATTAGCCCCCTTAAGCAATATATTTTTTGATTGTCCGCAGAAGAAACTACTGTTATACAATGACCTGCCTAATAACACTAATTAAGCCTTTAAATCACACTTTGAATCTGAATACATGTATTTTGAAAAAATATCTAGTCAAATATTATGTGCTCTCATCATGACAAAGATAAAATAGATCAGTTATTAGAAAAGAGTTATTAAAGCTATTATGTTCAGAAATCTTCTTTCCATTAAACAGAAATTGGGGGGAAAAGGGTTGCTAATATTCAGGAGGGCTAATAATTCTGACTTCAACTGAGTTATTTTCCACCCTGCAAAGGAAAGAGAAATAAATACAATAGAATAAAATATAAAACAAACTGTGCTTTAAGCATCTTCACTTTAAGAAACACTTTAGGTACAAAAGTCCTTCAGTCAAGAGCAGAGGCATGTTCTCCATTTGTTGTTTGATTAATAATCATAAAAACAGGCGGCAGAAGGATTATAGCGCGCTGTCTCTTCAATAGTTTCTCTTTCGCGTCTCTTTTGATTCTCAACTCGTTTGTTTATTACACAAATGATGGTTGACATGAATAATCACTAAACACCGCGCTTTGACTTCTATTTGACCATTAAAGCGCTCATGTTAAGATGACTTTAGATGTGTGTACTGACTGCGCTCTGCTTGTCTCAGTGTGCGATTGAGACCGAATGCTGACTGCATGCTTCAATTCTGTGTGTGCGCGGCACACAGAATCATGCGGTCTTTCACACTTTTAAGAGCAACACGTGTACAACTGGAAAGGGGGCGGTAAATGATGCAATAATCGTTTATCTCGATTAATGATTTTTCATAATCGTTGGAAGGCATAATCGAAATCGAAATCGTATTTTTGATTAATTGCACAGCCCTAGTAGGTAGTGCTGTCGCCTCACAGCAAGAAGGTTGCTAGGTCGCTGGTTCGAACCTCGGCTCAGTTGGCGTTTCTGTGTGGAGTTTGCATGTTCTCCCTGGGTTTCCTCTGGTTTCCCCCACAGTCCAAAGACATGCGGTACAGGTGAATTGGGTAGGCTAAATTGTCCGTAGTGCGTGGATGTTTCCCAGAGATGGGTTGCGGCTGGAAGGGCATCCTTTGCGTAAAATGGGGCTGGATAAGTTGGCGGTTCATTCCGCTGTGGTGACCCCGAATTAATAAAAGGGACTAAGCCGACAATAAAAATGAATGAATGAATGAATCCTGAGCCTTTTTTCATCATTTAGAAGGGATTTATAAAGCATGAATAGTCCTCACTTTTGATTAGGTCACAAAACTGCATGAAGTTAAGTTAGTAAAGCCTTTATTAACATTATTCAGGTATATATTGTTAGTTCATTTGTATAAGACATATAAACGTTGATTTCAATAGTTTATTAATCATTTACTAACTCATTCTGAATTATCTTAATTTTCACCAACTACTCTTAAGCAGGTCGCACACCAGAAGCACCGCTCGGCGCCGCGACACGGGGCGTACATGACAGTTTAAAGTATCACACACCAGACGTGCACATTCGAATGATATTTAACATGAAACTAATCAGATGGCGATCTGTGGTGCGGCTGAAAAATGAACTGCGTCATGAGCCGTCGCCGGGCGCCGCCAACAGCCGCCGACTTGCGGCGCCGGTATGTGTATCCTGATAGAAACCTATGTTTAGAATTCTAAAATGCTTTAAACACAAATGATTAGTAAATAATGCAATACTTCATGAAGTATTGAAAAATAAATCATTAAAGTATGAAAGTTCAATTATTAAGCACATTATGTAGCTGCAGTTATAAACTGCCGACTAGCGTTTATTAATGTAGTTAATGCTTAACAAATAATGAATTTTCAAAATGTAGTTTGTTCCATGATAAGCTCTACTAAACAATCCAACAAGAGACTTGTTCATTATTATTAATTTTTTATTGTACAAAATGTCTCATTAACACATCTACAAACTCATAAAACTGACTCGAGATCAGGTCAAAACTATGAAATTTGTTCACACTGAATGAATTTGTGAAATTTATGTGGATTTAATGGTTTTACACATTTTATTTAGCCACGTACAATTGAGGAGGCATTCGGCGATTCAACAAAAGGAAGAGGAACTGTTAGTTCATTTTTTAAAATTAATTTACATTATTCGGAGAGAGAAAAGCCTTTCTAGAGGTGGTTTGTCAAACCCACTAACCTGTGTGAAGCACACTTCATAAATTTAGTGCTTTGTTTTGTTTTATAGCCATTCAACCTTGAATTTTTGCTATTCGTGAATTGAATTCATTGCTAGGTGGTTGCTAAAATGTTGCCAAGCAGTTGCTAAAGTGTTCTAGGTCATTGCTAAGGTGTTCTGAGTGGTTGCTAGGCGGTAGCTAAGGCGTTGCAAAGTGATTGCTAAGGTGTTGCTAGGTGGTTGCTAAGGTGTTGCTAGGTGGTTGCTAAGTTGTTCTAGGTCGTTGCTAACATGTAGCTAGGTGGTTGCTAGAGTGTTCTGAGTGGCTGCTAGGCAGTTGCTAAGGTGTTGCTAGGTGGTTGCTAGGGTGTTCTAAGTAGTTGCTAAAGTGTTGCTAGGTGGTTGCTAAGGTGTTGCTACATTGTTGTAGGTTTTGCTAAGGTGTTCTTATTGGTTGCTAGGCAGTTGCTAAGTAAATGATAGGTGGTTGCTAAGGTGTTCTAAGTCATTGCAGAGGTGTTGCTAGAGTGTTCCGAGTGGTTGCTAGGCAGTTGTTAAGGTGTTGCTAGGGTATTCTGAGTAGTGCTAAAGTGTTGCTAGGCGGTTGCTAAGGTGTTCTAGATCATTGCTAAGGTGTTGCTATGTGGTTGCTAGGGTGTTCTGAGTGGTTATTAGGCAGTTGCCAAGGCGTTGATAGGCGGTTGCCTAGGTGTTGCTAGGCGATTGTTAATGTGTTCCGAGTAGTTGCTAGGCAGTTGATAACATAAATTAGCATGGTTCTAGTATGAATTACCATGTTGCTAGCATGTTTCTAGTATAAACTAGCATGTTGCTAGCATCAATTTAGTACAAATTAGCATGTTGCTAGTTTATTTCTAGTATAAACTAGCATGTTGTTAACAAACTTAGTATGAATTAACATGTTGCTAGTATAAACTAGCATGTTGTTAGCATAAACTTAGTATGAATTAGCATGTTTCTAGTATAAACTAGCGTGTTGTTAGCATCAATTTAGTATTAATTAGCATGTTACTAGTATTTTTTATAGTATGAATTAGCATGTTGCTTATATGATTAGTATGTTTGTTAGCATGTTGCTAGTATAATTAGTATGTTTGTTAGCACGTTGCTAGTATGATTAGTATGTCGTTAGTATGTTTCTATGGATTAGTGTATTGTTAGCATTGGTTTGTTGTTAGTATGTCCAATGTAAAGTCAATGGCAGTTTTTTTTTTACAATGGAAGTCTATGGGACAGTTGCTAGGGTACCATAGGAGGTTGCTAGGTTGTGGCTAGTAAGTTGAAAGGTGATTAGCAGATTGGTAGTCTGAGTTAAATGAGCCCAAGCTTAAGTCTGTAAATGAGCCCAAGCTTAAGTCTCTGGCGCAAAGTTATGAGGCCACAAAGTTTGGTCCGATTTTAAGTCAATGGAACTTTTCAGAATTTCCCGAGACGGTTTTGGGAACACCGAAAGTCGGATCAGTTGGAAAATATATAGCAACTTAATTCAGTATAGTTTGGATGTTTGAAGTTAGTTTGGTGGTTGAAGTATGAACAGTCTAGGAGGAGATGCTTTCTTAAAATAGTCCAAGAAGAAGATGGAAGAATAATAAGATTAAGTAGGATAACAGTATGCTGGCTTTCTCAAGCCACCATAATAATGATATTACCATCAACAGTAAACCTCCCACACCCCTTACAATAATGACATTTCTCCACACAGAGCTGAATATATGATTGTGTATGTGTGGTACCTGATCCAGTCCAGAAGCCATGATGAGGAAGGCTGCAGGCGTCTGATGTCCTCGCGGTGTAGCGGATGAGGGCAGGTTATTGGCCTGCAGGATGTCCTCATACTCAGATTTCCCTTTGTGGAACTCATAATCCTCCCGCCGAATAGTGGACACCTCAAACAGGTCTCCGAGCACCTCTCCGGCTGACACACAAACACATTTATGACACATGAAGCAACATTTATTGAAACAGAAACAGCTTATTACAGTAGCTCGTCTCACCTTTCTGCCACTCCAGATCGTTTCCTGCACGTCGAGCAGCACCGTTGTCCATGATGATCTACAGTCACATGTGAAACAAGTCAGCGGCAGTCATACGTGACCTCAAATTACAACATTAAGATTTCATTCAATGAGTGGAGGAACTATGACATCAAGTTTTAGGCAAAAACACAGAAGCATTTTGACTAGGGATGGGAAGATTAATCGATATGTATCGATACGCGGTCATGCGCGTGCACGATGCGAGTGCATCGGTTGAGCAGCAGAGGATGAATGAAATTTTGGAAGCAAATCGAGATGCATCGGTTTTTGCGAGATGCATCGGTTTTTCCGAGATACAGCTTATATTTTTAATATAGAATGTATTTTTTATTTATTAACAAGTGTTGTCAACCTGTTTTTGGCGCATAATTTAATCGACCTACATAAAGTAAGCAGAAAAGCGCGAGAAGCAAAACAAACATTTTATTCCCCACTGAGTTTTAAATCTAAAGTATGGCAGCATTATGGATTTAAGGATGGACGACTTGACAGGACAGATGCAATTTGCAAAATGTGCCGCACATCTATAAAATACGCGGGCAGTACGAGTAATCTGTAATCACCGTGGCGCCGCTTCAAGTGAGTTGTTGTGGAAGCATCTTCCAGTGTTCCTACATCCCCGGCTTTCGCACTGCTTGAACTGTAGCTACCAGCTCCAAAAGTGGTGAGAAAAGCATTGCAAGTTTTTTTTTCCATGCGCAAAAGTTTTGTGCGCTCTATGCCAATAACGGATGTTATTGCATTGTTCATCTGCAGGGCCGGAGCAAGCTGAACTGCTGCTCTAGGCAGAGGACGATCACGCCGCCCTCAACCGCAATGTGAAAACGAAAGTGACCGGTTATGAAAATGAAGTGACGTGTCGCGGACCTCTATTCTGCCGCCCTATGCGCGGATATAACTGAGGACACGCGGGTGTCGCGGACCTCTATTCTTCCGCCCTATGCGCGGATATAACTGAGGACGCACGGGTGTCGCGGACCTCTATTCTGCCACCCTATAACTGGGTGTTGCGGACGCCGCCCTCTCTATAATGCCGCACTAGGCGGTTTTAAACACCTCCTCCTCTTAATTTTTATTTAATAATAATAATAATAATATTAATAATAATAATGATAAAAATAATTGGGTGTCACGGTGGCACAGTGGGTAGTTTGACCACCTCACAGCAAGAAGATTGCTGGTTTGTTATATTTTTATTAGCCTGTTGTTTACAGTGACAGTGATGTTTCAAAGCAGCATAACACTGCTAGTTCACGACCTTAAGTTTTGAATAATCAGTGGCAAAATATATCTTTGTAAAACTTGTTTTCATAGTTGAAAAGTTAAATCACAATTCTTGTTGTGCAATGCTAAACCTTGATGTTGAAAGAGTGCAAATATATATATTTTAATATATATTGCACTTATACATTCTGTTTATCTTGAAAATACTTAAATAATATGTGCTATATGTTCTAAAATGCCCCTCTACTGTAAACTGACACTCTGGCTCTGAGAGAAAAGCCAGTTTGTAAAAAAAGTCTTGGTTTTGCTGGGTTAATAAATAATCAAACTCATTCAATGGCACAGCATCCTCTTTTACATAATCTCATAAACTTGATCTAATTAGTTAGTGCTGAATTATCGCACTGTATCGTGATATGGGTGTGAATCGTATCGTGTTGCATCGCAATATGTCATAAATGTATCGCTAATATATCGGATCGTATTCTTTGTATCGAGATGCGCATCGGATCGGCATTATAGCTTAGATGCCCAACCCTAATTTTGACATTTCATGGTCACAATGCGGGGGGGGAATTCCCAGAATCTTTCATTTCCGGGTATACAAATTGATGGTCAGGGCAACCATAGCACTATAGTTAAATGGATAATGTATGCAAAGTGATAACATGGAATGTCAAAAGGTTAGGCCACTCTATGAAGCACAAACGGGTGCTCACATTTCTTAAGAAAGAAAAAGTTAACATTGCCTTTTTGCTGGAAACCTCACCTGTCTCATACAGAGCATCAAAAACTCAAGAGAGACTGGGTGGGCCAAGTGTATTTTTTCTAAGTTATACAACTCAAAAACGAGGAACAGCAATATTCATAAATAAAAAAAAAAATTCCCTTTTTTTATTTAGAGAACAACAGAGTGACAACGAAAGAAGATTTAAACTAACTAAATGTACCCTATGTGCTCAAGAAATTACATTAGTGAACATCTATGCTCCCAATATAGATACCCCTAAATTTATGAGCAATATTGTTACTTTATTTATCAATACTGCTCTTTTTCAGACCTTTTAGCAGGTGATTTTAAATGTTGCTTTGATGCAGATTTGGATGGGTTAACGTGTAAAACACACCGATAACTCATTAGGAGAATGAGCACAACCCTGTTAGACCATGCGTCAGGACGTAGTGTGTATTTTTCGGTCCTTAAAATAGCAAAAGTAAATTTTTTTTTCTAACATAGAGCCCAATGTTTGTTTGTTTTTTTGAAAGAAGGTCTGTGGTAAAACTCAAGCTCAACATACTTTTATGTTTTATTCTACAGCATAAAACACTATTTACACCCCCTCCTAATTTTTTTTTTAGCTGTATAGTTAAATAGGATTACAGGCATTGTCAGAGACGTTAAAGCAGAGGTAGGCAAACTGCGGCCCGCTGAACACTTTCATCCGGCCCGCGAGGGAGTTTTTAAAATGCTGCTTCTGAGTAACGGTTTGGTTTCAGTATTAGTAAATTAATGATGCAATACAAGTGAACGCCATTTGAAGACAGTATTGTACGCGGTGCAGTTAAAGCAACCAGTGGATTTGGAACACACTCTCGGATATTAAAATGCACTCGACAGTTAATGACTGAAAATGAGTCAGGCAAAAAAATTAAAGCGGTGTGTCTAATATGCCAAGAAAGTATTGCTGTTTTTAAAGACTACAACCTAAAGGGCAGATCACACCGAACGCAAGGTGCACCACACTGCCTTTTTGTTGACCAAAAAGAAAAAAGAAAAAAAAAGGGCAGATCAGTGCACTTTTTTTATGTCGTTAAGCAACAACTGAATCAGCTAGGTATTCAGCGAGAGTGTTGCTGATGATATTAATCTAACTTTATTTTCAGGCTCACTGTTCACATTAACACACTCATTGATATGAGCATAATGATACGAGCTCAAATTAGATTGTTGTGAATTTGACTCAAATTATATAATAATTGCTTGTTAAATGTGTTAATTTTGTCATAGAATATATTCTCCATGCAGACATCCTCTTTCAAAAGTTATTTTATCAAAGATTTGTGGTTTTATTAAGGTTTTATGATGATTGATCAGTATATTCTAAATGCAGGGCAAATTAGATTATTGTAAATTTGACTGAACAGGAAACTAAGAATTATTTTGAATGTGTTAATATGAGATTTTTTCTATCAGATGATATCATTTCTATTCTCCACTGTAAAAATTATTACATTATTATTATTATTATATTGTATAAGAGATTATTTTATTATTTTATGATGATTGATAAGTGATGATAAATATAAATAGCTGTACAAGTTCATTTCACTTGTAAAATTGACTCAATAATTACTATTAAAAAAATCTGTTTTGTGTTAATGTGACATGTTTCTGTCAGATATTACATGTTTCATGCATACTGCCACTATAAATAAAAGTTATTTTTTGAAGGATTTGACATGTGGCCCTTCACTTGGTTTGCAAAACTTAATGTGGCCCTCGAATGTAAAAAGTTTGTCCACCACTGCATTAAAGTCTGTGTAAATTGGAAGTTGCCAAGACTTTTATTGTAGTATGTTGATGTAATTCTATTTAAATGGGATGTAGTGCAGGGTTTCCCTTTTGTACATCATTGTCTGATAGCCTACTAACAGTAAGAGGGGCGTGGTTAAAGGTAAACTGAGCCAGAGTGTTTATGTCTCCTAGAGTTCAACAGTTAACTTGAATAATTTCATTCCATTCAGCCAATATCTTGTTCTGGCAAGGTCACTCTTAGCTTAGCATAATGAATTAAATCGAATTAGACCATTAGCATTTCATAAAAAAAACAAAAAAAAAAACAAAAAAAAAACAATGATTCTAAATAACACTGATCATTTTCCTATTTAAATCTAGAGTTTTGTAAAGTTAGTGTGTAATACACATAACTCAAGGTGCCCTCTGAAAACAGCTGATTCTCATGCACTGCATAATATCACTCCAACTGGTGCAGCCATGGTACTGCAGCAGGGTTCTTGATTATTACGTCAGAATGGGGATAAAGTTCCTAGTAATTCCTAGTCAATTCATTATGCTACGCCATAAGCACCAGAACAAGAAATTGGCTGAATGGATAAAAAAAAAAAAATGCTAGAATGCTCTAAAACTCTAGAGGACTTGTAAAATGAGCCCTTATCAAAAAAGTTGGAATGTGCTGTCATCAACAGAGGACTGCTTCTCTAAACGTGGAAGCAAATGGTCACACTTTGATTGAAGATTATCAAAACAAATTTCAAATGCATCTACAGGGTGAATCCTTGTCAAGTTTATTTTTGTAAAAAATGATCCACGATAAGTTATCAGGGAGCACGACGGTGGCAAAGTAAAAGGTGAGTGACCTTATAGTTCGTTTACAGCCTAGGTTAGCTTAATTGCACCTGTATTTAGTATTCAAAAGTCATATTTTGTGAAGATTATCTTAATTTTAATCCCTATAAATATCAAAGCAATAGAAAACCAAATTTAAATTTCAGTCCTTGTAGCGGGACTTAAATAAAACCCTATTAAATACATTTCATACTTAAACATTTTAATAACAAACATAACAGTCTTCAGTTTAATAGAATTACTCTCAAAACAAAATAGTTTATTATGTGCATAAAACATGAAACATTTTAAAGCAATAGCATTGTATTTAACGCAAGGTATACAGTTAAAGTCAGAACTATTAGCCCCCATTTGAATTTTTTCTTTTTTAAATATTTGTCAAATGATGTTTAACAGAACAAGGAAATTTTCACAGTATGTCTGTTAATACTTTTTGTTCTGGAGAAAGTCTTATTTGTTTTATTTCGTCTAGAATAAAAACAGTTTTTATTTATTTTTTTTTTAAACATTTTAGGTCAAAATTATTAGCCCTTTTAAGCTATATATTTTTTATAGAACAAATCCTCGTTATACAATAACTTGCCTAATTACCTTAACCTACCTAGTTAACCTAATCAACCTAGTTAATCATTTTAATTTCACTTTAAGCTGTATACAAGTGTCTTGAAAAACCATCTAGTCAAATATTGTTTACTGTCATCATGGCAAAGATAAAATAAATCAGTTATTAGAGATGAGATATTAAAACTTTTATGTTTAGAATCTTCTCTCCGTTAAACAGAAATTGGGGAAAAAATAAACGGGCAATAATTCCGAGGGGGCTAATAATTTGGACTTTTGTATATATACTTTCATAAAGTCATATCTCAGTTCATTGTTTCTTACTCAATTCCTCTCAACGCTTCATTTTTTAGGTTATTGGAAAATATCTTTTTACAGTTACTCTGATTCTCCGAATTTATACTATATTTTGCTATGAAGTCATTTCTAACCAAGTCAGACTTTTAAATCTAGATACATGTAACCTTATTTACTTGAAAAAAGAACTGTACATAATATATTTTGAATTACTCTCCTCATCTGAACTGATTTATACAGAACTGTTTACCTTATCTACAGCGTTTAAAGCACGTGCATTACAAGGAACTGTAATTAAGTTACCTAAAAATGACAATTTTTCAGTGAATAAGTCATTAAAATACAGTAAACAGTTCCTTTTGGACTCATTACACTCCACACTGTGTGATGGAAAATGTTTCCCCTGTACAAGTATCTTTATGGAATTACTCACAGAGTATTTTGGCCCCATGGCTCTGATAGCATGTCCTGTCAGAGTGGCAATAGTGAAGAGATGAGGAGACACTTCCTGCAGCGCCTACAAAGAGAAACGAAAAATAATAATGAAAGATTTATCACAATATTGACTAACTAATTAACACAGTAGAAAGCCCTTTAAATCTTCAGATATGAACGCACAATATTTGAAGAGTGTATATGCTGGATTGTGTGTGTGTGTGTGTGTACCTGCTCCTTCATCTCACACAGTAAGTCCACCATGACCATTCTTCCTTCAGCATCAGTGTTTCCAACTCGGATTCTTCGACCGGCACGAGACACCACCAGCTCATCTGCCACATAGCAATCTGACCAAGAGTTACACAAAAAGTTTAGCAACAGTCACCACAGCTGGTCAATATATTCACACAAACTTGCTTACCAGATCCAACACTGTTGCGCACCATGGCCATCGCACCCACAACCTTTAAGTGCTTGGGCTTTAGTTTGGCAAGGATCTAAAATAATAATAAAAATACATTATATTATATTTGTATCATAAAATCTGGATTTAAAGTCATGCTCTATATAGTTTGATAATGTTTTTTGTTATGTTCTGCAAACTACTGAGGCTATTTGGTCCATATTTTAAAGAGCACCTATGTAAAAAATCATCTTTTGAAAGCTGTTTGGAGAGAACTGTGTGTATGTTTAGTGTGTCCACTGTCATACTGAAGTTTTAGAAACCAAACAAGTCTTTTTTTTTTAATTTCTTGATGTTAAAATAGGATACAAATCCCAGTCATTTTTAGGCCCATCGCAACATTATGTAGGAGTGCAGATTTTACCACCCACCGAATTGATTGAATTGTTTCTATAATACCATGATTACACATGTCCACAGAACATTTTTTTGCAAATAAACTGGGATTAAAATATTTGTTCCATCTCTCTGTAAGTCCAAATTAGTAAAGTTCACATCAGTAATTGATTACCAACTACAACATTAAGATTTTATTCAAATTACCTTAACCCTTTAGTAATGGAGTGGATGAACTACTGTATGATGATCAACTACACAGAAGCAATTTAGCATTTTAGGACTTTTATTTTTCGTTTTTTTTATTTATTATTTTTTATGGGATTTCAGTTGTATTGCTTAAATAAGATCTGTGGTAAAACTCAAATTCATTTTTTTTTCTTTCAAACTAATGGTATGGTTAAGAATTTTATGGCTTAAGCAGTTTAACTGACGTCAACAAAAAGGACCAAGTTTCCAAAAATGGAAGAAAATAGTGACTTTGAAGATTACCAAAACAAACTTTTTTTTTTCTGTTCAACTAATTAGCAATATCAATGTGCATTTTGACTTCACACAGTCTTAGTGAAAATCAACTTTTGTAAGCTGTTTGGACAGAACTGTGTTTATTTAGAGTGTGTCCACGGTATTTTCGGAGTGAAATAAACCTAACAAGTCTCTTTTTTAAGCTTTCCTGACATTAAAAATAGGACCCAAATCACAGTTATTTTGAGGCCCACCACAACGTGACATAGGACTGCAGTTCCCCCTCCCATCGAATTGATTGAATGATGCCATATTTCAATAATACCATGTATACACATCTCCACAAAACATTTTAAACTAGGCTTAAAACATCTGTTCTGATTTTTGTAAGTTAAAAAAGTTGTTAAAACAGAACATGTTTGTAACAAAGACAGTAAAACTTCAATTCTTCCACTATAATCACCACAGCGGCAAGGTGTCAGTAAACACGTACATGTGCATTTGTTTGAGACTCATCATTTCAGAAAGGCTTGAATAAACCCCACCACAAATACATGAAATAAACTTATTTGGCAATTTTGACCAATGAGCTGTATTTCAACGTCATCCGAGCTTGTCTGTCACTGTGCTGTTTATCTGACTTAACGCATAATGAGAAGCAGACATGCACGTGTGAACAGTGTGCAAGGAGAAGCAGCTCACAAAAAAGCTACAGTTTACTCACACAAAAATGGGGAAATTCTGGAGGCTATAATAAATATTTATATTTAAATCCTGGTCCTGGAGGACCGGTGTCCCTGCAGAGTTTAGCTCCATCTTGCCTTAACACACCTGCCTGCATGTTTCAAGTACACCTAATTAAGACCTTAATTAGCTTGTTCAGGTGCGTTTGATTAGGGTTGGAGCTAAAATCTGCAGGACACTGGCCCTCCAGGAACAAGTTTGGTGACCCCTGCTTAAGACACATGCTGTAGATACCAAAGTCTTATCTTACATCTTTTAAAAAAAGGTAAAATAGGTGCCCTTTAAAAAAAAACGTACTTTAAAGCATAAAATAACTAATATTTATGTTAGATTTGACAACCTCATGCTATTTTTTTAAATGCTAAAGTTGGAAGGTGGAATAATCCTGATTTTCAATCTCGAAAAATAATAATATTAATAATAATAATAAAAACATTTGTTATTTTGAACAATTTTATAAAAAAATAATTAAAATTAAACTAAATAGATTGTAATAATAATAACAACAACAACAACCAAATTTTTTAAATATATATATAAAAAACATATATTTTTAAATTTGGAAGGAGTGATATCGAAGCTTTACAGCACGTAACAAATATTAAAATTATACGCAAATGCATACTAAAATCATTCAGAGAAACTAAATTTTCAAGTGGCCAATGCAACAACCACAAAACAAAAAACCTTCCATAACTATTGAACTCTAATATTCAGGACAGTAATATGAGCAGCGGTGTAGTAAAACTGTACCTGGAAGAATCCGGCAACAGCCGCAGATCCACATTTATCTCTGTGCATCCCAGCCATGATTCCTCCAGCCTTGATGTCAGCTCCACCAGTGTCATATGTGATGCCCTGAAACACAACACAGATATGTGCTGAAAACTCCTGTGTACAACTGGGCGATATACCCAAATAAATCATAATCGGTCTCTGTGTGTGAGAAAGAGAGAGTTAGGGGTGAGTATGTATATGCATGTGTTGGAGTTAGGGGTGTAATATTTCACAAAATTCAGTATGTTCGTGCATTAGGGGTCTAATGTTTCACAAAATTAACAGTTCAGGTAGAAAAAAAAAAAAAAAAAAAAAAAAAAAAAAAAAAATATATATATATATATATATATATATATATATATATATATATATATATATATATATATATATACACCTTTATAATTAATCATCAGCTAAGCATGAACTCTTGAAAACAAATTAAAGAAAAGTAAAGTTTGAACAATGATGGAGCTATACTTGACCGAAAAAAAAGAGAAAAATTATCAAACTCAAATTCAGCTCCATCTTAAAGTTCAGTAATTTTCTTATAGTTGACTAAAGCTAAAAACATTACGCTGAAATATTTTAAATATATTTTATTATTTATTTAACTGGAATGAAGATGCAGAATTCTTACACCTTTAGCAAAATCAAAACTTTACACACAAATTTTTATATACATATACTGTACATGCTTTATTACATTATGATAGATGAGAATTGTCATAATATTATATAGTAATGTTTTCAGTGTGTACTCCTAATACACACACACACACACACACACACACACACACACGCACACACACACACACGCACACACACACACGCACACACACACACGCACACACACACACACACACACACACACACACACACACACACACACACACACACACACACACACACACACTTTACTTTCAATAGTGAGGAACTACACTTGAGTGTATTGATACACAGTATAGACTCACACCACGTCATATAGTTCAAATACAATGGGCTTTAAGCACAACTAGTGTTTTTCAGCCAATGTTAAAGTTCCGGTGAAGGCTTAATGTGACGATTTTCAATTTCATAAGGTGCCTTTTACAAAATTGATGTTGTAATGTAATTAAAATATAATCAGTTAAATAGACTTAAGCATTCATTTAGATGTTCATGCATAAAACGAGATGAAAGACAATGCAACCACTAGCGCCATTAGAATCAGCAAGCTATCGTAGAAACTACTTTGAAAACACTGGGATAAAATAAATGTCCATAAATTAGAGACATGGCAAATTTAATGTGCTTCTTGTCTGGTCTGAGACCCTCTTCATATCATATATCAGTCAGGCAGTGGAAAAAAAAAAAAAAAAAAAATTCACTGTTTTTTTAAAGAAATCACATCTTAAATGTGGCGATTTTCTAATGCAAGACAGTTTACCGGAAGTGCTTGGGTTGGCCGACTGAAATCGAAAAGTCAGTGTGCATTCATGCCATTGACATAAACCTCACCTTTCCAACCAGCATAAGGGTCTGTTCAATGGGTCCTTCTCCACAGTACTGGAGCTTGATCACTCGAGCCTGATGACGAGGCACAGCTGGAGAACAAACATGGCCATATTAGAATAACTTTGACATGTTACATTATACTACTGAGGTCTTAGATTCACAGTCTTGAGCTCTGGAAAACACATCTTTCTTGATCCAATAACCACATACTAACTCTTAGTTTACTTTTATAAACAAGGTCAAAATAAAATTTCAGTTACTCATTTTACGCTACATTGTTTTGTCCATTTTTTGAAAATGGGAGTGATGTCAACCCCTCCTTTGACTGATTAGCTAGAGAAGCGGCTGATTAGCTAATGAAGATGCTAAAGCCCACTTATAGCAAACTTGAATGGCTTGTTTTTGTAAATGCAAGCAGAGAATGTGGAAATGACAATGAAAGTGAAAACACTGTGAGCACACGAACATTTATATGAGAGGGAAAAACTGGATTTGCGATTTGAAAAACCTAAAATTTGTCTTTTTAAATGCATACAATTCATTTGTGATTCATGCTCTTTATCTTTCGAAATATGACCTTGTTGATTCATATTCTGCATTTAGTTTTAGTGATTTATAATTTCACATGTTTTACTTCATGCTTATTTTTTTATCCGGACTCTAAAAAGACTGTGACATTAGCTATGTTGCCATCCAAAAATTGGATTAACAACTTTAACTAACTCTGTAATGGTTAAGGCATTTTAAAATGACCAAAACAACATTACAGACGCTTTACGGTGTGCTCGGCCTGCTGCTTTGTCCATTCACACACATTGTTAACATCTCTTATAACAAAATCCCACAACCTTTTTTAAGGAGCATACTGGAATTTGTTCGGGAAAAATGTTTCAATTGTAGTTTATGTGCATCTTTTCTTATCGTATGAAAAGTTTATCCTACTCAGTTATTTGTATATATTTTTCATGCGCATTTTCAAAACGTATACACAACTTAGCATTTCCATCAACCGATTTTTTAGGTGCTTTCCAAAATGCACTTAAAAATAGGTGGATGGAAACATAGCTATTGTCATTTTACTTAAATCGATACTTCACTTGCATTTAATATGCTCTCTATGTATATAAACATCTCCTCATTGTGCTTTGCATTTAATTTCAGTTTTGAGTAAAACAACAACAACAACAACAACAACATTGACAATCATTACATTTATTTCTAATAAAATATTTACTGACGCATCCAGAATTTTCTCCATTTGACAAATGAAGGTTAATATATAGATCTCAGCTTTTAGGGCTAGTTTTGGTTCAAACTGATCAATTGATTTTTTGACAACTGATTTTTCTTTGATTTGACATGAAACCGTCCTCTTACCATTAGCACAGCGGTTGACTGCAGCCAGACACGGGTATTCCTTCTCCAGAGTGTTCAAGTTACTCACTACAGTCACCTAAAAACATAAAAACACATGGATGTGAATTTATTTATTTGGTTAGTGCCATATTAGCAGCGATGACTAAATTCATGGCAACACTTGTAATTATTCAATATATAATTTACAATCATAACTGTTTCCTAATAATCATGTATTTTACAAAAAACATAAATAACAGCATAAAAAAGTCATATAACATCTTTCAATCTGATCACTGATTAATATTTTATTATTCCTCTAGAATACACCTTTTTAAACACTTCCTGAATAAAAATGTTCTTTAAAACATATTTTAATCAAATTCAAATTATGTTATTGTCAAAATATGTCGACAAATAAGTTTCTCTTCCACTTGGGTGGCCGACTCCATATTTCATATGTACAACCTGATCGTGTCCATTTTGAAAAAGGTAATTATTACTTTTATTTACAAATGGATTGACTTCATATGATATGCTGTTTATACATTAATCCCATTCCATTTGCCATTTCTCACTAATGCCATGGATGCGAATAAAGCATCTCAATTTGAAGAGCTGAGCTTTAAAACATTCAGATAAAGACTTACCTTCACAGGACTGTCCTTGAAGACTGACTGAACATACTCGGCTACACGCGGAGCTGCCATGCGCTCCGGGTCAGAGCCACCGATATCACGATACACAAACCTGCACAATAGACAAATCATCATTTTTACTCTACTATACTATATATCAGAGTTGAGCGTAGACACCATGACTATAAAAAGGCATTATCATCAATGGAGCTGTTTTATATATATATATATAAAACAGCTCCATTGATGATAATGCCTTTTTATAGTCATGGTGTCTACGCTCAACTCTGAGTTGGTCTACTCAAAGTTAATTGACTTAACTCAGATCAGCTATTCAGAAACCGAAAACTGTGTTTTTAATCTCTCGGTAAATCAACTCAGAGTTTAAGTTTAAACTCCAAGTTGGTTGAACCTCCTTACCGAAACAGGCTCCGTGAATCAATTTACATTGATTTATGGGCCGTTTTCCTCAAGGGGCAAAACAAATGAACTAAAAATGTCCCCGCAAGGTAAAAAATAAAAATACTGGTATTACAATACATTTGGTCCCCACTATATAATGAATATCAGACAAACATGCTTACACAAACAAATAAAAACACACACACAAAATCACACACCTGCCACTCTCCAGAGCATTGGCGAGCTCAATGATGCCATCTCCCTGCTCTTTGTTCTTCACCCAGACGCCCAAAGTGGCCACTTTATGAGGGGAAGACTTGTGCTCTCTCACTTCCAAAGGCTGAGGACACACACGTATTATTTAGAGAATGGAAAAACATATAAAAATTACTCTCAAAGTATCAGTGGCCACTGGCTTGCATTTCATGCATCACCGAGGACCACACTTTCAGCTAAAATACTTCTTTAATGTTTAATTTTTCCACTGAAGAAAACACATTATAAGTTCAGCAGTCAATTCAATTAAAATGTTTAGAAATAAGTTTATTTTGTATTACTTTTTTTTTTAATGCAAATAATTACAGTATACAAAAGGTAAATTGAACATTTTACAAAAAAATAAATAAATAAATGAATAAATAAATAAATTATGAATTAAAAATCAATACAAATATGAAGAACTTTAAAAATACATAAACAAAAATAAATAAATAAAAAGATTACTTTGTTTCATTTTATGGAGAAAAAAAAACAATGAGTTTACTTTAATGCATAAAACAGGAAAATAAACAAACAAATAAATAAATATATAATAAATGGGTTGATTTTACAGAACTGGGCTTTTTCATGTAAATGTGCAGGCATGTAGTTTTAAAAATGTTTAGGCAGTTTTACTGGATGGAAACTCTTTAATTAATTTTTAAACTAACACAGGCCTTGGAAAGTTAAGAGCTGCACATCCTGCAGAGTTTTGATATGGCCTTAATTAAAATAAATTCATTGATTAATTAAAATAGCCTGCTTGTAGGCCACAAGTAATATTCAAACCTTAATTATCTTCTTTAGATAAGTAGGGCTGAACTGAAGCAAAATGGCCTAAACTTGCCTGCCCTATGGCATAATATTATTCATATTTTATTTTAGTCTTCAGTTACCAAAACGTTAGCAGTTTCAGTTAATAATTACAACAATAGTATAACTTGAAGGAGAAAACATGTATATTTGACAGGAAACTAAATTTTTAATAAGTGACCACAATGTGTAAAATCAAGGCGTCTCACCACATAGAGAACATGAAGGGCTCCGAGCACAGCTACAAGGGTGTTTTTGGCATAGCTGCTGTTTGGAGGACAAACCAGCAGAGGGCGCTGGAGGCCAGCTTTCAGAGCCCTGTTACACATACAAAACAAACAAATATATTAAACCAACAGTTTTAGGAATCAACATTTATCCACCATTTTCTGTGTGGAATATGTTTTGAGTGAGATGCTATTGATTTAATCCAATTCAGTTACTTATGCTAAGCTAAGCTAAAAAGTGCTCCAGCTAGATCTGGAGATTAGCGGAAAGGATTAAAAAAATGCTAAAACCCATCTATACAACTTGTAAAATAAGCATATTTTTAAAAAAGTGAGTGTTCCTTCAACAGAAGCTACTCGCATAATTCACACAAATCATCACAAGACATAGGAAACATCATTTTCAAAAAGAGAAAAGCCTCCAAGTACACAATGAAGCCCAAGAAAAGCACAGAAAGACACAAAAACAAGTAAGTGGATGAGGACATGTGGTGTTTTTTTCCACAGGCACCTCTTAATGCCATTAGCGGCAGCATCTCTGAAGCGCCGCACGTCATCATAGTCTCGATTGACTGGACCAGTGCAGGAGCAAACCAGCCTGTTTCCAGGAAGACCAGGAACTCGGAGCACCACCACCTCATCCTTGATGCAGCAGTCCACCTGAATCACACAAAAAAAAGGGCAGAAGAGGACAATGTATGAATCAGTGCTGCTTATTGTGTGTGTGTGTGTGTGTGTGTGTATGTGTGTGTGTGTGTGTGTGTGTGTGTGTGTGTGTACTAGTATACATGTGAGGGCATAATTGTCCTCACTAATATAGCAAAAATAAAAACAACCCACTAAAGGGATTTCAGGGGTCCTCACTAATCAAACATGCTCATAAATCAATCAATTGTATTAGTATCTAATGACTGGGTTTTGTTTCTGTGATGGTTGGTTTAGGGCAGGGGTCTCGAACTCAAATTAGTGGGGGGCCAATGCAGTGACTGACAATTTATAGGAGATCGGTTTTAACATTCAAGCACAAGAAAAAAGTGAAAACCTGACATGATTGATCCATCTTAGGACAAGAGACATGATGGTTGTATTTCAAGCATTACCTGTCATCAGTCTTAATGCAAATCAGCACATTTATCGTGTCACACATCAGCTGTTGAAATAGATCTGTTGTTGTTGTTGTGTATATGGCAAACTCAGGCAGAGGATTAGACACACACTCAGTCATTCTTCCACAGAGTATATGCAGTCAAAACTCTAGCTTTTTGTTTCTTGTAATACATATTCAAGGGGGAGTTTAAATTCTTATGAAATTACTGCAAATAATAGGCAGGATCATTATGATTCTGTCCCAAGCAATTGTATTGTCCCAATAGTGTAAGAACAGCAGAAAGCAGATTGGGTAACTTAAGTGACTTTACTGCCAATTGTTCAATATCTTTCTTTTTTTTTAACTAAGAGGGGGAAAGTTCAAGTTCAATTCAACAATTCACAAATCTTAAAAAGCATATGAGGAAAATCTATGAAATGAGACCCTTTAAAAGGATTATTAGCAAAATTATCATATGTTAAACCACCAGCATAACTTGTTAGCCATGAATAAGTGTTTGTACAACAAAATACAAGTGGTATAAAACTGATAACCAAACGATCCTTAAATTTTGACAAAAATAGAGCTTTAATAAAAATAGAGCACCTACAGACATACATTTTAATGTCTAAATCAAACCCAGAATTAAAACGCATGTGTGTTACTCTCGACTGTACACAGAGAGAAAATGAAACTAAAACTAATCTGAATGCACTGAACTTTAAATGTCGACTAGGTGGCAGGTCAAAATCACAAGTGGGTAGACGGGACTGCACAACAATTATTGTGATTTACATGTTTTGGCAGGCTGAATCTCATTATATTTTTGACATCAGTTAGGAGCCGGAGGGAGGGCGGTGACCGGCTGTAAATGGCATGCGGGCTGACAATTTGAGACTCCTGGTTTAAGGGATGAGTTATATCCCAAATTATGAAAGTCCGTTTGATACAAAAGTTACTGAGACTTTTATTTGAGTATGTTGAAGTACTTCCAACTGAAATAGAACAATGAGTAGGGGGGCATGGCTTTCTTTTGTGCATCATTCCTTCATGGCAAACTTACAGTAAAAGGGGCGTGGTTTAGCACATTGTAACTGAAGTCGTCAAACTGATGTCAACAGAAGGACCAAATGCAAAAACATATGGTCAGACTTTGAAGATTATCAAAACAATTTATTTCAGTGGATTTACTTGCAAGTATTAATTGTTTGTCTAAAGAATAACAATGTGCGCTAACAAGATAAACATAGTAAACTTAAGCTGCGTCCCAAATGGCACACTATACACTATGCACTCATGCACTATGTACTTATGCACTTACACACTCAACAGGATAGTATATGTATGTAGTGTTGTCCCAAATGGCACACTGATGTTTTTTTACTAAGCGGAAATTCAAACCGTTTCCCTGATGACGTTTGACTGTTGCCAACTCAGTGAAATAAACGACTGAATTATCAAGTGATACCTGCCGTGAGTATTGCTGCATTTACCATACGGAGGCGCTATAATCACTCTCGTAGGAGAATTTTGCTTTCACCATCCAAAATAAATAAAGTTGTTCAACATGTGCGTCTGATCGCTCCGCCCCTTCCGCTACGTAAGGAAACCTGCGGTCGTTGAGTGCGTGAAGTGTCCATCATTACACACTTCATTTTAGCGGCTTAATGAGTGCATCATCCGGGTGATTAAAGTGCACTTATTATTTTGAGAGTTTTCAATGTGAACACACTACTTACACTATTTATACTACAAAATGGCGTAAAATAGTGCATAAGTATGCGATTTGGGACGCAGCTTTAGATTTCACTAACAAAAAGAGACAAAAAAAAAAACAAAAAAAACAATGGAAGTCCATATAATGGCCTCTCCAAGATAGGAAAACAAATGTGTGTGTATATACATGTAACTTACTGCACTATAGTCTTGCAATGGGGCTTTCAGACACTCCAGCTCATTTGGGAGCTGCTCATAGTTCTGGGTGATGAGGATGATGCCATCGAAACTGTGAAAGTGAGAATTGATGAAAAATCACTGATAACAATATAACAATACATACACTTCAGCTCTATGTACTGTAAAAATGTACATATCTGCAGTTGATTTTAATCACTGCAATAATGCACAATTGCATTTTCTCTTATTAATTCATTTTGGATATTAATAAAAATATATTACACAGAATCATCTGTTAACCTAAAGGGAAAATTTCACCCATAAATGAAAATCTCACTATTTACTCTCCTTCAAGTGGTTCAAAACCTTTGTGTGTTTCTTTTTGTTTGTTGAACACATAAGGTTTTTTTGAAAAATGTTCGTTCCTAAACATGTAGCCACTGATATACATTGTATGAAAAAAAATACTAAGTTAATGATTATAGGTTTCCAATCTTCTTCAAAATATTTTATTTTGTGTTCGACAGTGTAAAGAAACTCAAACAGGTTTAAACAAGTGAAGGGTGAGTAAATGAAGAAAGAATAATTATTTTTGGATGGACTGTCCAACAAGTTAGAAAGTAATAATTACTTCCAGACCACACACCCCTGCCGGTCAATGCTATTGGTTGAAACTAACACTGATAAAATAGTTTGCTTTCATTTATATACTAATAAATAAATATGCAAATTAAAGTTAAGAAACAATAAAATAGAAATATTGCCTCACTAATAGTGAAGTATAAAGCAAATTTAAATAAAGAAAAACTGTTTTAAAAAATATATAATTTGACCAAAAACAGATTAGAGATATTGCCTTAGCAACTGACTAAAACAACAACAACAAAAAAAGTGTTATCATTGCTAAAACTGAAATAAGTACATAAAAAACTGTTAAACAGTTAATCAATAAATATTTTGTAGATATAATGTTTAGTAAAAAGGTTTGTATTTGGTGGAAATGTGTGTATCGTGTACAGCTTTGGTACAGTCTGTAGAACTAAGTTTTCTCTTTCTGAGGGCAATAAAGAATAAATCTCAGTATGTTGTGTAGATAAACAAAGCTCAAACTGCATGTTGGCTTTTATACTTATATGCAAAAAATGCAGAAACAGTAAAAAGATAATTTACATATGTACAGTTGAAGTCAAAATAATTAGCCTTCCTGTCATTTTTTTTTTCAAATGTTTCCCAAATGATGAATAACAGAGCATGGACTTTTTCAAATTATTTCTTGTAATATTTTTTCTTCTGGAGAAAGTCTTATTTGTTTTATTTTGGCTAGAGTAAAAGCAGTTATTAATTTGTTTAAAAAAAAAAAAAAAAGTTTAAGTGCAATGTTATTAGCCCCCTTAAGCAATTTTTGTCTACAGAACAAACAACTGTTGTACAATGATTTGCCTAATTACCTTAACTTGCCCAGTAAACCTAATTAACCTAGTTAAGCCTTTAAATTGCCCTTTAAGCTGTAAAGTATCTTATCTTTGGTATCTCTAGTATTAAAAATACCTAGTAAAATATGATGTACTGTTATCATGGCAAATATAAAATCAATCAGTTATAAGAAATGAGATATTAAAACTGCATTGAAAAAAAATCTTGACTCCATTAAACCGAAATCAAGGAAGAAAAATATCCAGAGGGGCTCATAATTTAGCAGGGCTAATAATTCTGACTTCATCTGTATATATTTACCCATGTATATGTTCATGTCTGTGTGCGTGCCTAACATTCATGGAACTTTTTATGCAAATGCAAAGGTTTTTGAGATATTCAAATCATTTGACCTGAAAATCAAGATAACACAGATCTCAAAGAAAAAGGTTCAGTGTATAAGGGGCTGAATGATGAGCCGAATCTATATACTCTGTTACCCATGAGTGATAAGAAGACAGTCTAAAGTCTAAAGTCTGTGTGTTGTTGATTGTAAATCAGCTGGTTTAGTTAACAGTGATGACCAATTCATAAAGTTTCTGAAAGGTGTTGTAACATGTTTATTATGCTTGTTAGCAACTTCATGAATTATACACAATGACAAATGCTTCAAGAGGGATCGACTCACTTCTGGTCTTTGCAGTCAGTGGTAAACTGGATCGGCTGGATTCTAAATGAAAGGAAACATAGAGAGAGGATTAAAAAAATTGTTATGCATAAAAAATAGGTAATCAAACATTATAAGTAATTAGTAATAAAAAACTGCAGCTTCTTTCACCATGTTTGATTAAAGCCTGATTGTCGTTTGCACGTGTGGGGTTCAAAAGACTGACACTGATATAAAGTTAAGCAATTTTACTATTTCGAAATGTCGAGTCTTGAGATGCAGATTCAACAAAAACAGTTCCTCACTGCTGACACGGCAAATCAAAATAATTATATGATTATCAACACTTTTAACATAGTCAGCAATGAGGAACTGTTTTGTGGAAACTGTAATTTAACTGTTGATGAGGAACTGTGGTGAAAGTTCAATGGGTTTATAGTGAGCCTGTGGACAACTTCAAATATATATTTTTATTATTTATAATAAATTTACAACAAAACAATAATAATAATTAAAAAATCTCAAATTAACTGATCAAAACTTTATTTTTTTCTTTGAACAGAATTTTAAAATGCAACATTCCCTTAGATACACATTTCTGAAACCTATATATCATTACAATATCATCGCAACCAATTTTAAATAAGTAGTCATTTTTTTTCAATGTAAAAATTCAATGTTTAAATGTTTTCAGTGCATGTACAGAATCTACTAATTATGTTCTTTTAGGTTTGTCACATAATTCAGTTCTCAGTGTTAAACGGTCCTTAATAAATCATTGTAATATGTTGCCTTACTAATATGCTTATTTGGTTAGAATCAAGAATTAGGGGTCCTTATTATTGTCAATGCATCATATGTTAGACAAATTTAAGTTTCTTTAGGATTCTCTGATTAACAAAGTTGAAAATTAAAACCAGTTAATTAAAATAAAACCTTTTGAAACATTAGATGTGTCTTATAATCACTTTATTTTGTCCTTGATAAATATCTCTGAACAAGAAAATCTTTTCGTAGTCTCTATTCACTGTGCATGGGTTTGATTGAAAAATCTGTGTTTTTCCACCTATTATTGATTTCTGCTATTAATGTAAATCATTTGAAGTTAAAACATTAATATGATGTTGTATAAAGATGTACATATGTCTGAAAACATGCCACCTTTACTTGTTTTATGTAAAAACATGGTCTACGACAACATTTTCATTTCAAATTTCAATATTAGTAGTTTCAAGAACAAAACAAAAGGTACTTAAGCAGGTCCGAATAAATAGCAAATCAAGATATATCATTAAACAGCTGTATATAAAGAAGAAAATCAGGTTGTTTGTAAAATCATGCTGCAAAACATGTGAAAAATATCCACAAAACAAAAATCACTAAATTACCTACTTTTGAATCATTTTAATGTTTGACTTTAAAAAATCTACATAATGCAATCTTACCACACTCAATACACCTAAAAAATGACAGTAATAACGCAAATTGCATTTAAACGATTCTGAATAATCCTCTTACCGTACAGACATTCTTCCGTCTCCTCTCGCCCTGCAGAAGTAAAACCGTGATGTCAGCTGACAGATTTCACAGACGAATCACATGACCCATTGAGTCACGTTATTCACGAAAATTTAGTTTTTTTTTCATACTCTAACTACATAAAATGTGCAAAAAAAATAATAAAATGATTATTTTAGGATGATTTTTATGACAAAAAATCAAATGCAATTTTGTGCATTTAAAAATGAGAAAAAAGTCTTTAAATAGCGCTCTTCTCAACAAACTTTCATTAAACTACATAATACACACCGGAAGTCAACAGCGATAGAAGTCTGAATCGTTTCAGCGAATCGATTCTTTTGAACAGCAGGTTGTAGTTTGGTTCTTCCACTTTATACCATTATCCATGTTTTATTCATGTTATTTTAATAAATAATTAATGTTTAATCTAAGTAAGTGATTTATGTATATCCTTGTATTAAAGCTTAGTTTGTCAGAGTAATGTATAATGTTATTTTTAATTTACGTTGCCTAAACATAGCTTAATCAGCTTTAAACAGATTTTTTTTTACAAAGAAATGTTCGTAAACACGTTTATTCGTGAGATTTCTTGTAAATAAATGTATTAATAATCGCTCTCGGGCTCTTTTTAGGAACAGTTTGAACTGACGAATTAAAAGATTCGACTCAAAAGAACGATTCTTTAACGAGTCAGCAGAACGTCAATTTCAGTCACGTGACAGCGGTGCTGGAATGACAGTGAGCTACAGTATCAAAGTACAAAGATTGTGTAATTTTTGTGGAATATATTGAGATGTGTGAGCGAGTAAGACATCAGTCCTCAGACAGATCACCTTTGTAAGCGTTATTTTTTTTTTAAAACGTGCACGATCAACACTTCTGTTTTGTGAACCAAGATCAGGTAGGACTTTCATACAGCGCTGCAGAAATCTGAAAGTAGGGCATAGTCACTAGTTATCTACTCTGTCTTGCTTGTTATCTTATTTCTAGCCATAAACCAAGCTGTTTACTGCAATCAGTAGTTTACAACGTGTTCTTGCACAATCAAAAACCGCTCTGATGTCTTTATCCTAAAATAATAATGCCTTCAACCTGTTGTAAGCGGTGCTTCCCAAACCAGGATGATGCGTACTGGCGTCATTTGCGTCTATGACGTTTCCAGGAGATGAACAGCTGAGTTCAATTTGTAATGAGTCCAAGCCTTTAAAAGCGATTGTAGTTTCTGGGTCAGGAGGGGTTTTTCTTGGTTTTTGATTGCAGGTGCTGCTGAGCCGCTGGCCAAGGCTATCGTGCCGGGACGTGGGCATGATGTTGTGCGCGAGCGAATGACTGGGAGGGATAGTTGGTAGTGCTGGGGTTTCCCCGGACTAAAGTTTCGGTGGCCGCTGTTGACTTTCCAATCTCTGTATCCCACGTCCGGTAGCGGGTAAGCGGGCCAGCAGCACAGTTATACTGTTGCGGGGTCATTGTGTGTGCATTGCATTTTGTTCGCCGGGAGTTTGAGTGAGTTTGATTGCTCCCGGCGCTTGTACTCTGTCTGTCTGTCTGTGTGTGTGTGTGTGTGTGTGTGTGTGTGTGTGTGCGTGCGTGCGTGTGTGTGTGTGTGTGTGCGTGTGACGGGGGATGAGCGCAGGCTAGCATCACGCTCCGTAAAGGAAATGTTAAATGACGACGGCTTGATATTTAGCTGGAGTGGTATTGATGGTAGCTTATGATTTGATTGCTGTGTGGAGTCTATTTATGGGTGTTATTTATACATTTATATTTATGAGATTTACTGTGTGGTGTATTACAACTCTGGGTTGATGTGAAATGATGATGTGTTGCACAATTACGGTTGATACCCCTTGTTAAATGCCTTGTGGTGGTCATTTTAATTGCCTTACCTAATAATTTTTATGCAGTCTGCTAACAATCTTTACATCATGAACTTTTTGTCCTTTTGATTCCCTACCTGCTGCTCCCCTTGTGTGGAATTTTAATCTTTAAGATTATTGTATAAAATAAAAGTGAAATTAGTATTTAAATGAATTGAGTGTTTGACGTTTACTTGATTATTGTGGCCCAAAATAAATACTGTATTTTGTCCAGCAAAGAACTTGTGTTGTGTGTGAATACTTTATGCCCTTTTTGGGAGGGTTACAACTTGGCGTAGTTTTGGCAGTCTGGACTTTGGGCAATAATCAGGAAAATGTCAACCACACAACAGTTAGACCAGTCACCTTCTACATCTGGTGAGCAGCAGCAGGGGGCTGATAGCTCACCTAATATAGCCCAGAATCAAGCCATGCTTATGTTTCCTTTGATGATGGGGACACCATGGTGTCAAAAATTTAGTGGGGAGAAAACGGCACAGGAGAATAATTTTCAGGATTGGCATAATATGCAAAAATCAATGTTTGATATGTACCCTTTTTCAGAGGCTCAAAAAGTTTCAGCTTTAATAAGTAATTTAGATGGGGAAGCGAAGAGGGAAGTGTTAGCTTTGCCGATAGCAGAGCGTGTAACATCAGGACAGATATTGACATTTTTGAAAAATAATTATGGGGATACAGTCCCTCTTGCAACCCTTCGTTCCCAATTTTTTACTCGTAAACAAAGGACCGATGAGAGTGTGAGACAGTTTGCATTAGTACTTCAGGAATTAAGTAATAGGTTGGAGAGTAGGGGAGATCACACTACTGGAGGCTATGTGTTACGGGATCAGTTTATTTTGGGACTTTTTGATGCCGGACTGCGGAGGGAACTTCAGGGTATGGTAAGAGCATCGTCAGATATTGCTTTTGTTGATATTAAACGAGAAGCCATCCTACAAGCAGATGCGTTTGGAGAGGTAAGGCAAGCAGTAGCTGCAACCGTACAAATGAAACCAACTCTAGATACAACCAAATTGGTAGAGGAAATTAAACAGGAGGTATTTTTGCAGCTGAAAGGAGAAATAAAAGAAATAGTAGCTGGAATGATGAGTGAAGTCCGTGAAGGAGTACAGAATATGTGGCCTAAGAGTGAGGGTGTTAGACCTAGGTATGAGTTGATGGGGGGTCGAAGAAGTTCTGATCAATTCGACCATCAGGGAAGACCTATTTGTCGGCGTTGTAAACAAGTGGGTCATATTGAAAGACGTTGTAGGACTGTAGAAGGACCACAAGGGCCTTTAAACTTATAGAGCCCACTGTACAGGCCCAAACGGTGGGTACATCAAGTAGTGGCCAATTAGAAAAGAAAGATCACCTAATAGGACAATGTCCAGTCGTGCAGGTAGAAATACAAGGAGTTAAAACATCTTGCTTAATTGATACTGGCTCGCAGGTAACCACATTGACTGAAAGTTATTTTAAGAAACATTTCGAGACCGAAGGGCCAATGGTGTATCCACCCATTCAAAAATTTAACCTAGTGGCTGCTAATGGGTTAGTCATCCCGTATATTGGCTACATTGAGGTGGATTTAAATATTTGTGGCAAAGTCATACCAAAAAGGGGCGTGCTTATTGTCAAAGATTCAAACGGATCATCATATCCAGGGTTGATTGGCATGAATGTAATTAAGGAATGTAGAGAATTTTTAATGACAAAAACTGGAGATGATTACCTAGGCTCAGAAAGTGAAGTACAAGTTAAAGTATGGCGCCAGATGTTTTCTGTGTGTGAAGATTTATTACATTTTGCTGACGAGTCGGGGCAGATAAGTTCAATTTACTGGCCCCAGGGAAGGAAAAAAATAATACCACCACAGTCAGAGATGGTGATCGAGGCATGTGCACGGGTTCGGCCTAATAAGAAGGATTATGTGGGTTTGGTAGAACCATGTCCAGATGTATTGCCAGGGCAGTTATTGGTAGCCCGATCGTTGAGTACAGTTTCAAAGGGAAGGGTTATGGTTAGAATTCTTAATCTGTCCCCAGTGGCTGTGATCCTCTCCCAACGCTGCCGGATTGGACAGCTTTCAGATGTGGAGTTGTGTTCTTCTGGCCTGCAAGGAAATGTGGAATTAAGATCATTAGATGATGACACTGTGGAGGTAAGCGTGAGACAAAATAGAGTGCAGGATGACGAACAAGTGCAGATGCCATGGCCTGTTGCTGTACCGTTAGATCCACAGCAGTTTAGTCTAAAACAACAAGAGATGATTTCTGGTTTGCTGGCTAAACATCAGAAGGTTTTCTCAGAGCATGAGGAAGATTATGGATTTACAGATAGAGTCTTGCATGTAATACCAACAGGTGATGCAGCCCCAATTAGAGAACGTTACAATAGGATTCCACCAAAATTGTATCAGGAAGTTAGGGGACTTTTAAATAACATGCTTGAGAATGGTATTATTAGGGAGAGCTATAGCCCCTGGGCAGCACCTGTAGTGCTTGTCAGAAAGAAGGACGGCACCCTTCGTTTCTGCGTAGACTACAGGTGTCTGAATGGTGTTACACATAAAGATTCATATCCTTTGCCTAGAATTGAGGAATCACTAGCCTCATTGAAAAAATCTACAGTGTTTTCAACTTTAGATTTAGCACATGGGTATTGGCAAGTGGGGGTGCACCCAGCTGACAAAGAGAAGACCGCTTTTGTTACCCCAATGGGGCTATATGAATTTAATAGGATGCCAATGGGGTTATGCAATGCTCCAGGAACGTTTCAAAGGCTGGTTGAAAGCTGTCTTGGGGATCAAAATTTTGAAACTGTGTTGCTTTATCTGGATGATATAATTATTTTCTCCTCCTCTTTTGAGGCTCACATTGACCATCTGGACTTGGTTTTTAGTCGTCTTGGGGATTTTAACCTGAAAGTAAAACCAACTAAGTGTTCTCTGTTTCAGAGCAAAGTGCATTATTTGGGCCATGTGATTTCAGAAGGAGGGGTGTCACCAGACCCAGGGAAGTTGCAAGCCGTGGAGACATGGGCGGCTCCTCAGAACATTACCCAGCTTCGGGCCTTTTTGGGCCTAGTGGGTTATTATAGACGTTTTATAAAAGACTTTGCAAAGATTGCAGCACCACTGAATTCAATGTTATGGGGGACATCGAAACGACGAACTCAACCAGCTGCAGGTAAAGCAGAGCGTTGGGCATGGGGGGAGATGCAAGAAAGCGCCTTCAAGAAATTAAAGGAGAGCCTCCTGCAAGCACCCCTATTAGCATATGCTGATTTCCAGCTGCCATTTGTGCTGTATACGGATGCCTGTCAGACGGGTTTGGGAGCAGTACTTGCTCAGGTTCAAGAAGGGAAGGAGAGAGTAATTGCTTATGCAAGCAGAAGCCTACGCCCTACGGAGAGGAACGATAAAAACTATAGCTCATTTAAATTGGAACTGCTGGCTTTAAAATGGGCTATAGCGGAAAAGTTCAGGGACTATCTTGCTGTGTCTCCCTTTACTGTGTTCACAGATAATAATCCGCTGGCTCACCTGAATACGGCTACGCTGGGGGCAGTGGAGCAACGATGGATGGCCCAATTGGCTGGATTTCAGTTTGATGTGCGCTATAGACCAGGACGGACAAATGGAAACGCTGATGCTCTCTCGAGATGGCCTGGGAAAGAGACAGATGGCCAGTCTATAGAGGATGAAGCAGTGCCATGTGGTGAGCCGGGATATGTACCATCTGAAGTGGTTCATGCTTGTGTCCATGCCTTTGTTCCAGTAGTTAAGGACCAGGAGAAGGAGCCAAGCAAAGGACGAGAGCCACAGTTGACCCAGGAGGAGTGTGTCGGACCTAGTTTGTTGGATGACTGGGTGAGGGCACAGCGGGCGGATCCAGTGCTGTCACGATTGTGGATGTATATGGACAGAGGAAGAGGCCCTGGACCAAGAGAACGAGCAGCAGAGGATCGACCTACTCAAGTGGTGCTGCGACAGTGGGGTCGTCTGGGCACCGATCGAGGATTGTTGTGCCGTGAGGTATGT